TAGTAAGAATGCCCTGATATTAAAAATTCAAGACAAAACCAATAAGCCGATAATCATTTTCAATAGATAACCGATAATGACAGATATTAAAATTCTAAATAAATTACAGTATGGAAATTTTTTATGTAAAATAAACATTTTCTAATTCATGTAAATATAAAATAAAATAAAATAAATGTTAATTAAAAAAATAAAATGCATAAAAAACTTACTTGCCAAAGTAACAATTCTAATTGTTGTTCAGTTTAAGTGAAAGTACTAAAATAACTCAAACTTAAATGAAAATGAATAAAAACTATCTAAACATAAACATTACAAAAACACAACAAATTACTAAAACTTTAACTAAAATGAAAATGAAAAATGAAAATATATAAATAAAAAAGAATAATATATGAATGATACTAAAATAACACTACTTTTCATTGGTCACACTTTACATCACAATGTTTATTATTTACGGTGCATTTATGTAATTCTAATGAAGTAGGTTCACTTAATGTTGAATTATATTGTGTACCTGCTTGTAAGTACATACTGCTATTATTATTGCTTTAGTAATTCATTATACCATCTGTTTTACGTATTCTATACATACTTTGAACAGTGTACATAAACTATACTGCAGAAAGCAGGATGGCGGTATGCTATTCTGCACACAGCTCGTGGTTCTCTTGTGGTCATGTGTTAGAAGTGCAGCTAAAGTAGATGACTGAATTATGTGTCTGTCCCTGTGCAGGTTTGGTTTCACTGTACTGCTCTTCCTTCTGCGCTCTGTGGTTTCCATGAATTTTAATGTGGTCTATATTTACACAGCAGAGGTGAGACCAAACACATGAACACTCCACTTCCTCTGGATAGCTTAAAGGAATAATTCACCCAAAAATGAAAATATTGTCTTCAATTGATTAACCCTCATGTCGTTCCAAACCCATAAGACCTTTGTTCATCTTTGAAACGCGAATGAAAATATTTTTAATAAAATCTGAAGGATTTCTGTCCCTCCGTTGAAAGTGTATTTACCCAAAACGCTTATGACGCTTCATAACATTCATAAATTGATTGTAAAATGAATTAATATGAATCAAGTGGTTTTATCCAGGTCTCCTGAAGAGACAAGATCGCTTTATATGATAAATGGATTTAATTTAGGTTTTTAATCACATATTTTTGGGTTAATAGTCTTTTAGTGGAGGGACAGAAATCTCTCAGATTTCAAAATCAAAATGTGGAATGACATGAGGGTGAGTACTTGTTTACAGAATTTTCATTTCTGTGTGAACTTAACCTTTAAAGGAAGAGTTTATTGTATTTAAGTTAAAGCCAAATGATTGGTGTGTGTTTGCAGGTTTATCCCACATCCGTGCGCTCAATCGGAATGGGCTTTTGCACATCCTTCAGTCGAATTGGGGGAATGATCGCACCTTTCATAGCACAGGTGCTCTATGTGTTTGACTTTGCACGTGTGTGTTCGTCTAAATAAATATCTGTGTTTTGTGTTTAATGCTATTGATGATATCTTGCCAAAGATAACATTGTTTGAATGTGTCATAGGTGTTGATGTCTAGGTCTGTGATTTTGGCCCTGTCACCGTTCGCCACAGCGTGTGTGATTTGTGCGATAGGAGTGGCCTTTATGCCCATTGAGACCAGAGGACGGGCATTACTGGTAAGCATCTTCACAACTCTCAAAGCAACTTTTTACTGAGGTCAAACTGAGATGATCTTCCTTACAGTTTAACAATTTACTTTTTTCCCCTCTATTTCAGCAACATGGCTGAAATAGCCTACACCTCAATGGAGATGACGGACAGTTGCACTTTTGTTACAAAACATGATCTCATATTAAAGCTGAAACAGTTTTATAATTAATTTTGTTGCCTGTGTTGTGTTCTTCGAGAATAATAATGGCAAAATCTGTTAAAAACCCTTTTCCTGTGTTAACATACAGGTCCTTCTCAAAAAATTAGCATATTGTGATAAAGTTCATTATTTTCCATAATGTAATGATAAAATTAAACTTTCATATATTTTAGATTCATTGCACACCAACTGAAATATTTCAGGTCCTTTATTGTTTTAATACTGATGATTTTGGCATACAGCTCATGAAAACCCAAAATTCCTGTCTCAAAAAATTAGCATATTTCATCCGACCTAAATTTTTTTTATCATTTAATAAAAATAAAAAGTCAACCTTCAAATAATTATGTTCAGTTATGCACTCAATATTCAATACTTGGTCGGGAATCCTTTTGCAGAAATGACTGCTTCAATGCGGCGTGGCATGGAGGCAATTAGCCTGTGGCACTGCTGAGGTGTTATGGAGGCCCAGGACGCTTCGATAGCGGCCTTAAGCTCATCCAGAGTGTTGGGTCTTGCGTCTCTCAACTTTCTCTTCACATTATCCCACAGAATTTCTATGGGGTGGTTCAGGTCAGGAGAGCTGGCAGGGCAATTGAGCACAGTAATACCATGGTCAGTAAACCATTTACCAGTGGTTTTGGCACTGTGAGCAGGTGCCAGGTCGTGCTGAAAAATGAAATCTTCATCTCCATAAAGTTTTTCAGCAGATGGAAGCATGAAGTGCTCCAAAATCTCCTGATAGCTTGCTGCATTGACCCTGCCCTTGATAAAACACAGTGCACCAACACCAGCAGCTGACATGGCACCCCAGACCATCACTGACTGTGGGTACTTGACACTGGACTTCAGGCATTTTGGCATTTCCTTCTCCCCAGTCTTCCTCCAGACTCTGGCACCTTGATTTCCGAATGACATGCAAAACTGAGCAACAGTCCAGTGCTGCTTCTCTGTAGCCCAGGTCAGGCGCTTCTGCCGCTGTTTCTGGTTCAAAAGTGGCTTGACCTGGGGAATGCGGCACCTGTAGCCCATTTCCTGCACACGCCTGTGCACGGTGGCTCTGGATGTTTCTACTCCAGACTCAGTCCACTGCTTCCGCAGGTCCCCCAAGGTCTGGAATCGGTCCTTCTCCACAATCTTCCTCAGGGTCCGGTCACCTCTTCTCGTTGTGCAGCGTTTTTTGCCACACTTTTTTCTTCCCACAGACTTCCCACTGAGGTGCCTTGATACAGCACTCTGGGAACAGCCTATTTGTTCAGAAATTTCTTTCTGTGTCTTACCCTCTTGCTTGAGGGTGTCAATGATGGCCTTCTGGACAGCAGTCAGGTCGGCAGTCTTACCCATGATTGCGGTTTTGAGTAATGAAACAGGCTGGGTGTTTTTAAAAGGCTCAGGAATCTTTTGAAGGTGTTTAGAGTTAATTAGTTGATTCAGATGATTAGGTTAAAAGCTCGTTTAGAGACCCTTTTCATGATATGCTAATTTTTTGAGATAGGAATTTTGGGTTTTCATGAGCTGTATGCCAAAATCATCAGTATTAAAACAATAAAATACCTGAAATATTTCAGTTGGTCTGCAATGAATCTAAAATATATGAAAGTTTAATTTTTATCATTACATTATGGAAAATAATTAACTATCACAATATGCAAATTTTTTTTAGAAGGACCTGTATTTCCTCAAGTAACAGTAAGTTGGAATAGGACATATTAAAGCCTGGCAAACCCATGATTTGCTATTGCTAGTCACTGATAGGTATTAGGGGGCAATCTCATATTAGTGCACATTTTATTGGTCAAAACATTCTATACGCTCTTGCAAATAAGATAAATCATCAATATTTTTAGTCTAAATCATATTTTTAATTCATTCATTAATTAATTCAGGAGTACAGTAGCAGAGGGTTTGTTTTGGTCATAATTTTTGTCTTTTGACAGAAATATTCTTTGTTTAGTCAGTATTTTGTTATGCCATTTTTATTCTGTCAGATTTACTAAAATGGCCTTTTAATCCACTAAAACAAAGAACATTTATCAAAAAACAGTTAATGTTGTGAAAACCTATGCACCGGAAATAACATTGTAGTAAGTACATAATCGAAATTATATGATTTTTGCTTCATTTATTCATTGTCCGTGTTAAGTTGTTACGACAAGCGCGCATTCACAACGCGTTTTCCGCATTCCGACTAGCAGCAGGTACGTTTACTTTTGCGCGCTTGTCGGTTACAGTCTATGGTCGTACTAGGCCTACGTTTACGTGTGTGTTGTTGTGTAAACAGGCTATCGTGTAGGTAGAGTTTGGGTGAGTTTCTAACCTAGCAGACGCTTCAGCTCAAGCGAGGGAATCTTCTGCATTTCAATATCGTACGTTGTTTTTCCTCATCATATTCTCTTCAACACAGTATTAACCTTCGTTATTAATGACCATAGTTTCAGTCGTAATTTGGTTGAGGGGGTTCCAATCAGTGGTGTAGTCTAGTTTTTTGTAGTGAGTATACTGTGATATTACACAGTATAGTATAATGTTCTTAATTTTAATTTGTATTTATTTACATTTAGTCCGTTTTTATTTTAATCTATTGTAATCTAGGCTATTTAGATCACTGTTTTTTATTTTCACATTTTTAATGTTTTTATTGTCTTAATTAATTAATTATTTACTTATTTATTTTAATATCATATATATATATATATATAGCCAAAAAAGTTTTTATTTATTATTATTATTATTATTAATTTCTATTGGGTCTCAAGCCAAAATGCAATAACAGCCACTTGAGGGAGACATTACACTCTTTTTATGTTCAGCAGAGCTAAAGATCAAGTAGTCAAAAGTGTTATAGTTTAAGGTTATGTTGTCCAGATCACTCAGTCTTTCCTCCACCTCTCCTCTCTCACCCTCCCCTCATCTACGCTCTGTAATCTCTTTAAGAAGCCTCCGTCCCGGGGCAAATCAGATTAGATCTAGGGCTTCTTTCAATAACACTCCAACACTAACCACCAGCAGATCCACTGCAATAATGAATCTGTACAGTTAACATCGGCTGGCAGGAAGATGCGAATCATCTACAGTGTGTATGTGGCATAGAGATGTATACGTGTGTGTTTCCTGAAAGACAATGTTTGTGTTTGTTGCCTGTTTGAAAGCGTGTGTGTGTGTGGAGGCGGAGTCAGCATGTGCCTGGTAGCTCCTTCCTCTGACCTTGGCTACAGAGAGATGGTGGAGAGAGAAAGAGGGCAGAGTGTGTGTGTGTGTAAAGTGGTGGAGCTAATTCCTGCACTGCAGCTGTGTATATGACACCAGAGTTAACAGCTCTAGATCCACTTGGGAACTTGCCAGAGAGAAACACAGCGAGAGAAGAGGAAGGAAAGCATGTCAGCAGCATGTGCAGCACACAGAGAAACAGCACGGTAAGTATCACTTGCTAGTGTTGAATTGAATGTATTTGTGTGCGTGTCACTCTGATGCAGCAGTGTTGATGCGTTGTGTGACAGTCTGAAGCAGCCTACATTGATTCAGATGCTCAATTGTGATATGGAAAGGGCTGAAAAAGGCATATGACTGCAGCTGTTGGATGGTCATTCATGGTACATGTTTACATGGGAACACTTTGACTCTACTGTGTGTATGTACTCAATGATTAGCTGTATAGTTTCATTAATATGTGCATATGCCTTTATAGTTTCACGGTGTAATCAATGTCTGAATGGCTGACTAGAGGAAAAACTGATCGATCCTCTTTCTGCAGCACTTTCCTTGCTCTCTGTAATCCTCTGCTCTCAGTCGGCACAGCAGTCAATCACTGAGACATTTGAGAAGAGAGTTATAAGGATATTGATGCAGGTCATTCATTTTTATGATGATGCTCCAGGGTTTTGCCCTCCATTTATGGTGGACATGATCATGCGTAAATGACGTCCAATGCAGTGGAATGTCTGTTTTGAGAGTCACTTGCTGTTCTTCTTCTTCTTCCTATAGAGAGTTTACTTGAAAGTCTTGTGAGTATATTTATTGCTTAAAGGAATAGTTTACTTAAAAAATGAAAATTCTGTCATCATTTACTCACCCTCAAGTTGTTTCATACCTGTATGAGTTTTTATCTTCTGCTAAACACCAAAGAAGATATTTTGAAGAATGTCAGTAACAAACAGTTGATGGACCCCATTGACGTATCTTTATTCCTACTATGGAAGTCAATGGGGTCCATCAACTGTCTGGTTACCGACATTCTTCAAAATTTCTTTCGTTTGGGAAAAAGAAAAAAAACATGAGATGGGAGGAAAAAATAGATTTTAAAACTTTTGCATTAAAACTTCACCATTTAGTTTTCTAAATGATGACAGACTTTTCATTTTTGAGTCAGCACAGTCAGTAATGCTCATAGTAGAAAGATTAGATTGACAGTCACTTTCTCCCAGTGGGTGGCATTCCCCAGAGTTAATGCCAGGCTGACCCCATGCATCCTATTCTAGATGTATCATATTCTGTCTTAGAGACAAGACAGATTCATTCTGGCATAATTGAAAAAGAGTTCTAGAGAGAAAGAAAATCATCTATAAAAAGGATTCGGAAACCAAAGTCAGTGTCACACTTAAATAGTCTGCTTATCATTGCATATAATCACGAGGTATCAAATCAGGCGTCATCTGCAAACTCATTTATTGAGTCATTCTTATGTAGGCGCTTAGAGGTCAAACTATTCATCCAGGCTGGAGTGCACAGCTGAATGGTAGTGCTGAATGAATTGAGTCAATGCATTTGCTGTAATCTTTTGTAATGTGTGCAATGAAGTGGTTTACTGTCTGTCATATATTGATGACTCCACAGAGCACTGCAAACCTTTTACACAACAGCCAGTCAGAATTAGTGCTGGAGCCACTGCAAACACATTTAAGCTATTTTATACTGTTTATGATACTGTTTAACTGTTTATAAACAAAATATATTATAAATGTGTGTACAAATAATTTAATCTATTCCCTGATATAACATAAAATATATATTTAAGATATAATCCAATATATAACCATAGCAGATAAGACTTCCAAAAGGTGAACAACACATTTTTTTATTATTTAAATTATATCACTATAATCTATTTTATATTTACTCAAAATTCACTATTTGAGAACAGAGATTTTGCATTATTAATTGACAAAAAAAAAATTTTTTTTTTTTTTTAGAACTGTCAATAATGATGATCATAATATATGTCCAAGTATTAGCTAATTCATTTCTCTGAACAATATATTATGCTATATTATATCGCTAATTATTCATTGCACTTATATAATAATTTGTCAGATATTGATCAAGTATTGTGCATGTGTGCAGCACCGGAGTATGAGACATACAGTATTATATTTCAATTCAAGTAATTCAATTTCAATATAAATATTGTCCTTGAGCATTTTATTGACATTTGTATAAGCAATGACAAACTGATTTGAGGAGCTATAATGAGGGACGTGTGTCTGAGTAAAACATGATGTGCAGATAAATAGAGAGATAGAAGAATGTGGCAGAAGTTTTGCTGACACATCTGCTTCACAGCCTATCTATGCAAATTGCTTTCCTTTATTTTTATCTCCATCAGAGACCGATCTAGATACAATTCTCTATTCCATATTACACGTTCATCTCTTCCCTGTCTGTCTGTCCAAAATCAGCCCTGTAAACAATTTCTCTTTCTCAGATGCCCTGTGTCTGGTGCGTTCTGGAGGTGAGCTGACTCCTGTGTGGGTCTTGAGAAGCAGATATGTGGGACGGACGGTCTGAGACGTGTCATGCACATGCCCTGTTCGACGCCTTCGTGCAGGCTGGCACGTGTAGAGAGACCCTCAGGGCCTTCCAGGAGCTGTGTGAAGAGCTGAAGCTGCATCCCGTGGGTCAGCCGCAGTTCTACCACACCCTGAGGAGCAGACTGCACTACTGGAAGGCCAAAGCACTATGGGCCAAACTGGACAAAAGAGCCAGCCAGAAGGAGTACATGAGAGGCCACGCTTGCACCAGCACCACGGTACAAACACAGGGTCACCCCCAATGCATTACAAGAGAGAGTTCTCTGCACTAGCGCGCTGAACGCTGTTTTACATGTGAGTTTTGCTGTGTGTTCAGTGTCTGATCATAGGCGCCGGTCCGTGTGGACTGCGGACGGCTATAGAGCTGGGATTTCTGGGTGCCAGGGTGGTTCTTGTGGAAAAGCGCGATGCTTTCTCACGGAACAATGTTCTGCATCTCTGGCCCTTCACCATTCAGGACCTCCGTGGTTTGGGGGCCAAAAAGTTCTACGGAAAGTTCTGTGCTGGAGCCATAGACCATATCAGTGAGTAAACATGAGATCAAAATGGAATCAAAATTTGATTTACTTAAATTTAAAAATGACTTTCTTAATACACATTCATTCCCAGTGAATCAATAAATGTCCTGACTTTTTTCTCGTTTTTTTAAATGTTACATTAAATGTTTTGGATGGCATTTAATGATCATAGAGAAAATTGTATTTATATAGAATTTATATATACATTTTATAGATTTTTATGTTAATTTGATTTTAACAACATATGTTGAACTATTCCTTTAATGTATTGGTTGATATTTGATGTTTAAATTAGTATGAAATTTGTATTTCCTCTATTTTTATATTTTTCCATTTGTATTTACCATTTTAATTATTAAAAACATTAAATATTTAATAAGTAGATTTATTTATATTTATAATTTATATTTTATGTATTAAATAAATATGCTAATCTGTAGCAAATATCAAAATGAATATCCCTTTTTTGTACTGTACATTATAATGTTGTGTTACCTAAATTCACGTGTAGTATTTAAACTATTTATTTTTGTTTTTAGACTTGTATTTTTTATTTATTTAGACTAAATAGTACAGAAAAAAAAAATCCAAACAAAAATGTAAAAAATAAAATCAAGCATTTTAAAACTTAGCCATAACATAAAATTAATTATTGGCTAAAAAGTATCAGCCAGAATTTTAATATAGCTGTAATTTGACTTGGCAAATGTAATCTTTTATTCATATATTTCATAACTATTTTTTACAGTTGAAAGTTTTACATATGAAATAACATAAAATATGCTTTGAAAAATATGCAGTTTTGCTTCTCAATTTAATCCTTTTTTAAGAATGTTTATATATTTATATAAAAAAATAAGACAAAGACAGTGATTAACAATATAATATTTTGTAGTGTATTCTGAAAGCGTTTGTGATATTCTCATGAATTGATTTTGTGGATTATGTATTGTCAACATCTATTTCTGCTCAGGTATTCGTCAGCTGCAGCTGATGCTTTTGAAGGTGGCCTTGTTATTGGGTGTCGAGGTTCACGTGAATGTGGAGTTCAAACATCTACTGGAACCTCCAGAAGACCAGGAGAAGCGTAAGAGAAATGTAACAATTTCGCCCTAGTTTTATCTGCAAATTAATTGACATATATTTTCATGTTCATGTCCTGTTCAGGTGTTGGCTGGCGAGCAGAGGTCCACCCCAACTCTCATCCAGTCAGACAGCTGGAGTTTGATGTGGTTATTGGTGCAGACGGCAGAAGAAACACCTTACCAGGTATCTGCAAAAACACAGTCTCAGACCTATTGTACTCACAGAAATGTACCAAACAGATGCTTCAGTCGATGGTTCATATAAACCCTTATTGGTCATGATGGCAATGTCTTCCTAAGTTCACAGTTTATAAACTACCGGTATAGTTCCTCAGTTTTCTGCTATTTTTCACTTGTCTTCCTTTTTCTCATACATGCATCAAAACCCCAAAAATGTGTTGTGCAGACAATTTGTTCTCTAATTTGTACTTTACATTGAGTCAAAGGAAATGACGCCCCTCATACAGTCATCTATAACAGACAGTTCCCCTATTCTAATTTTACCCTGCTTTGGACATCTTCACATCACTAATTCGTTGTTTTCAAAAACTCCTGTGTAAGGGTTTGATTTGTCTGTGTCCGGTAGGGTTTCGCAGGAAGGAGTTTCGGGGGAAACTTGCCATTGCCGTCACAGCGAACTTCATTAATCGCAACACCACCGCTGAGGCTAAAGTGGAGGAGATCAGCGGTGTCGCCTTCATCTTCAACCAGAGGTTTTTCCAGGACCTCCGGCAAGCTACCGGTACTGAATTATTTCACTGTAACTCAAACATTATCAGAGTCCAAAGATACCAAGAGCATATGTATTGCACTCAGCTGCATTTTAAGCAACTAATATTCATTTTTACACAGTTAGGCACCTTTGTCTTCTCTATGAATGAGTTTATCATATGTTTAAAATGATGTACCGGTAAACACAATGAGTATCTGTCAATATCTTTTCTGTGCAGGAGTTGATCTAGAGAATATAGTATATTACAAAGATGACACTCACTACTTTGTAATGACCGCCAAAAAACAAAGTCTTCTGGACAAAGGAGTCATTCTGCACGTGAGTCGTCACATGATCGAATGTTGTGTGCAAATATCTGCTTATCGTACACATACCATTGTGAGTGATTCTTCTTTTATTTTTGTTTTGCAGGATTATGCTGACACCGAGACGCTGCTGTCCAGGAATAACGTGGACCAGAATGCACTGCTCTCGTACGCTCGTGAAGCAGCTGATTTCTCTACCAATCATCAGCTTCCTTCTCTGGACTTTGCCATCAATCACTACGGGCAGCCAGACGTGGCCATGTTTGACTTTACCTGCATGTACGCCTCTGAGAACGCAGCACTGGTGCGTCAGCGCAGGGAACACCCTCTGCTGGTCACTCTGGTGGGGGACAGTTTACTAGAGGTGAGAGCAAGAAGAATGAGCAATGCAAAAAAAAATATATTATTAATTATTATTCTTGTTTTGTAGTTAAAATAACCGAAACCTTAAAACAAGATGAATTAACCCGAGAAGAAAAATTATATTCGAAAAACTGCGTATAAAGTTTATCGGTATCATATATGTTATCAGCATATATTGTTTTTTAATTATTTATCAGTATAGTTTTTTTGTTGATATTGTATATTTAAATTTGTACTATATTTTGAAATGTACAGGATTTAGGAGTTTGATTCTAATGTTTAGTTAAAAGCATCAATAAATAAATAGCTCATGATATATATAAATCATTTATTGATTTTTATTCACACTATATTTATTTATTAACAATTTATTTATTAAAACTGTATCGTATAGAATTTTTATATTTGCCATCTATCAGCTAGAATATGAATATATTTATTGGCTAAGTGGTATCGGACAGAATTTTAATATCGGTAGATTTTAACTTGGCATATTTCATCACTTATTCATATATTTCAGTGCTAATTTTAGTGCATTTTAGGAAGTCTACAAATGTAAACTACAGTTTAAAAACTAGTTAATAATATCTTATGCAGATATTTATATTGAAAATATAAAAAAAACACCATGATTTTTTTGTAGTACATTCTGAAAGGTTTTGTAATATTTTCAGGCATTGTTGGCTCTTATTTTGTTGATTTAAAAAATGTTTTTCCTATAGCCATTCTGGCCAATGGGAACAGGAATAGCTCGGGGCTTCCTGGCAGCCATGGACACGGCCTGGATGGTTCGCAGCTGGGGTCAGGGCAACACCCCTTTAGAGGTTCTGGCTGAGAGGTCAGAGCTAAAAAGGGATCCAAATGATTTATGAACATTCAGTTTTGACAATGTAGGAATCATAATTCTGTTCTAATATTCCCCCTCTGTTTCTTCCTTCTCTCAGAGAGAGTCTGTATCGGTTGCTTCCTCAGACAACACCAGAAAATGTCAGTAAAAACTACAGCCAATACAGTGTGGATCCTGCTAGCCGCTATCCCAACATCAATATGCAACTCATCAGCGCTGCTCAGGTTAGAAACATACAGTCCTAATCGAGTCTGAACCAGTAATGATGCTCATGATAATGCTGAAAATATGTGTACAGGTGTGTCATCTCATAGACACAGGTGAGGGTCCAGTTTTGCGTCTTGATGCTGTTAGCTCCCCACATCCAAGACTTACGCGACAAGGTGTGTGTTACTTCATAGTATAACATCTCCCACATATACAGTCATACACAAGCTCACATGTTGTGTGTGTGTGTGTGTGTGTGTGTGTGTGTGTGTGTGTGTGTGTGTGTGTGTGTGTGTGTGTGTGTGTGTGTGTGTGTGTGTGTGTGTGTGTGTGTGTGTGTGTGTGTGTGTGTGTGTGTGTGTGTGTGTGTGTGTGTGTGTGTGTGTGTGTGTGTGTGTGTCTGTGTCTGTGTCTGTGTGTGTGTGTGTATAGAGTCAATGGCTCGTTACAGTAAGCTGCTGACCTGGTGTCAGGAGCAGACGCACGGTTACATGAATGTGTGTGTGACGGACTTTACAACTTCCTGGAGGAGCGGCCTGGCCCTGTGCGCTCTCATTCACAGATTCAGACCTGACCTCATGTGAGTCCACACTCTGTAATCTGGGTATGAATGAGGGTTGTGGCGTAGTGTTTACACATAAGGGCTGGTAACCAAGTGTATATTACAGGTTGGCAAAAGTATGAAATTTGTATTATGTGACTGCGACATCAATATTTTTTTTATCTATTTCCCAGAGGAGAAAGTTAGTTTTAAATATTTAAACATTTATATATTTGGGAGTTTATCACTATAAATTAAATACAAATGATGAAATGTGTCAATAAAAAAAAAAAGACATATAAATAAATTTTCCCCATTTCACAATAAAAAATTGTATTGCCGTTTTTATTTATTCGTTCATTTATTGACACATTTCATTATTTATCTATAAAGGGACAAATCTATTAAAATCTTATAACTAAAATATTTATATATTAATATATAATTAATATTGATGGGCTCAAACTAAAAGCTGGAAAACATTCATTGGAGTTTTAAAGTGGTTTCAATGCATCAAAAAGAGATTTAGGAACTAAACGTGGGCTGACTGTATTATTACATTGAGTTTTTCTGAATGTGTGATTCTGATACTAGCGCCTTTGTTTCTTGCAGTGATTTTGCGTCTCTGGAGGAGAGTGAGGCGGAGTTCAATGGTCAGTTGGGTTTGAACATGGCGGAGCAGGAATTTGGTATTTGTCCTATAATGACCGGCAAGGAGATGAGTGCACTGGAAGAGAGTGACTCTCTCTGCATGGTCATGTACCTCAGTCAACTACATGAGCTCCTCAAAGACATAGCGCCACCTAGTGGTCAGAATAAGGCATTATCTGTTATTTTCTTTTTTATTTGTGTCATATTTTTGACCCTTTATATTTTTTATGTAAACAAATGCTTTTTTCCTCCACACAGAAAACCAAAGTTCAGAAGAGAGATCTATTCTGTTCTCCAGCACCAGGTCACCCATCTCACTGCTCAGCAAACTGGGACAGAGTCTGTCCCGCAAACGCAATCCCAAGGTACACACACACTCACACTCACTTACTCAACTGCAGTCTGTAACCCATATGTTAAGCTGTTTTTCATCTCTATCAGGATAAGAAAGAGAAGGAAGCAGATAGTGTTGGAAAGCGGAGGAGAACAAGCCAGGCTGGCCAGTCAGAGGAGGTGAGTCGTTTTTGAGACAGTCACATTTACACATTGCGGTGTAAATGGCATGACTTGTTTTGTATAATGAACTGTAGCTACATTATAATGTGTTTTTGTTCATCTGTCATTTGTTAAACCTCGTTTTTCCCAATTTCTTTTATTATTTGTGATATTTTCCTGATTTAGGAGGACGTTCCCTATGATACCAAAGAAAATATGACTTCAGCAGTAACTCCCGGGTCAGAACCGAAGGTCTCTGAGGGTCACAGCAAGGTTCGGTCCATGGCAACACTATTGCTGGCTAAATTTGAGGAGAACTCACCATCGGCCTCAGCCACTGCACTGCGCAGACAGGTGTGTGAGTATTTGTGTGATGCATGTGTACTTTAACATGCGTATAAATTAAGTTACACCATGTCCTGACCTGGTGCAACACCATTTTTCTGTCTATCCTTAAAGCAAAATATACAATAATGTGGAGTAGGATTTTAGACCAATAAGATTTCGCTGTGGGCGGGGGCTAGGAAGCATGAAATGGATACCAAGCAAGAGATATCGCATCAAGGCTGGTTGGGACTTTTTGTCAGTCATTTAGCTTGATTAGTTACGTTCTGGTTCTGACAGTATTTTGTTTTGTTCTGATAAAATGTCACAGTGTCTCTGTTAGCCATTAGATGTTGTGATGTATTCCTAATATAGAGTGAATTAGCTCATCTTGCCTCCAGCAAAAGCTGCTGACCCAACCTGTGGCCCCTGCGCAAACACACTTTAGCGTAGCCGCTAACAAGCTGAACTAGAATTGGCAAAGCCTCTTTGACATACATTAGCCAGCTTTTGTCAGGTGTTTTATTCGATTAAAAGCCATTTAGGTGATTGACAGTAACAGCTGCCGCATTATAAGATGCTTCATTGGATGTTTAGTTTTACTGTACAGCCACAGCGCATAACATTTTCATGTCCACTCTCCCTACCGAAGAAAAAAAGCACACCACAACAGGGTTTACTCTACAGGGAAAAGATTCAATCTCTGCCAATTAGAAGCGAAAAGTAAAAAGACACCTGTACTTTGAGATCCAGTAGGGTAACTTTTTACGATAGAAATGGGTAATCTGGTTCTGTTTTAAGCTTCTTTGGTCTCTGGTGTAGTTCAGGGACTGTTGGCCCAGGACGAATGGGTTATGAAGGAGCTCTGTGTACGAAGTGGCCTGTGGCTTAACATCCTATCAGTGACTGTAGGTCGTGGGACATGTGATTTAAGGGTCTTAACTGAAGAATCTCAAACTCAGACAGAATGATTTATTAGCTCCATCTTATTTTCTTTGATACTGACTGACTGACTTTTCCTTTGACTGACAGTTTTTTTAATTGATTTTTTAATAGATACTACTGATGACGAGAACTATAAATTTTTTTTTAAAAATCTAATTCGATGGGAATAGGGAAATCCACACCACAGCTATAACAATAACGACAGGAACGATTCAGAATGATTTTTTCACCTAACTTTTAAGAACTTGACCATTTAAAGTTGCAGACATCATAACTGCAGCACACGCTTATAATAAACAGAACATTATCATCCGTTGGTGTGGACGCGACGCTTACATAATTATTGCTATAGTTATCTTTATAGTTATCGTTCTAGGTTCCTTTATTCTCTACTTTCCAAGACCAATCTGTCAAACCCATTTACTTTCATATTATTTATTGTCTTTGTGATGGTTTTCATCTCAGGAGCATTTTCCATTCCTGCTTGTTTTCCATGCTCATCTTTTAATTTGTAGAGCTGCATTCAGATGTATACGGGCGGAGTGAGCTCATTGGCTCAGCAGATAGCCAATCAGATTCAGAGTCAGCAGGATCAAGCTCCCAAGCTCCTTCACAGGAGGGAGTTGGTAAGAGTTCTCCTGTAGTGCTGGCAACAAATCTTCCCTAACATTGTGAATGTTCTTGTGTCCCTTTAAGTGCCTGTATTACTGTGTGTATGAGGCCTGTAACCCAGCATTGAATTTTGTTATATATTTAATAATTACTGTGAGTGTGTGATGAGTTCCTGCTGTAATCCAATTTCTCTAATTAGGCTCAACGCTTTACAGCTTTATTAGACTGATCACACTCAAAGTGTCGGTCCATGAAAGTGCTGCAATCAAAGGTCTTTTGTTTGAAGCATTTCATCATGTTAGCCAAACATAATGAAATTATATTAAAACAATTTTATATTTATTAAAATAAAATCTAATATATTGTAATGTAATGTTAAAATAATAATGATAATACATAATAACAAAATAATATATTTAATGCACCTTGTCACCCCGGGTATGTAACTACTACTGACCCGTGTGTGTGTTAGGCATCTTTATTCTGACTATTGACCTTTGACTTCTCACCTGTAGGGATCTCAAAAGGAGTTTCCTGTGAATATGGGCGGCAGTGATGTGTGTTATTTCTGCGGCCGTCGCGTTTATGTCATGGAGAGGCTAAGCGCGGAGGGAAAGTTCTTCCACAGGAGCTGCTTCCAGTGTGACCACTGCAGCTCCACATTACGCCTTTCCAACTACGCTTATGACCAACTACATGGTGTGTGTGTGTGTGTGTACAATTAACCATTTAATACTTCCACTAATAAAATTATCATTATCATTACTTGGTGATTCTAAGATTTTATGCTCCTAATACAGATAATAGGCGTTTAGCTTTTCATAGATGTTGTCACAAGATGGGACACAAAGAGTGTGAAAATTCCCTGTTGTTGCCGTGGGCTACTGTTTTCGGCCAAACAAATTGCTGTTTTGTTACCATTGCACAGTCATAAGGTCTGCAGTGTGTATGTGTGTGTGTGTTGGGACAGGGCTTTTATTGTTGTCCGACAGTAGGGCACACACATAAACTGAAGGCCCTCAGCAAATTGCCACTTAAACATTTTCGTTTAAAATAGGAGTCAAAACAACAAAACATTCTAACTGATAGGGTTATGTAGATCACATGACTCAAACACTTCAAGTTTTAAAAAGAGGCGGCATTTTGGCCGACTTCTGCTACAGTATAAATAAGACATTTACTTCCTGCATCAGCTACTTTTTTATTTTCTCGCTCTCTCACTTCTTTTCTTGAATTTCGGTGTGTACAGGGAAGTTTTACTGTAAGCACCACTACAGCTTCAGACTGGCTAGCGTGAGAAAGAGACCGGCCCCATCTGTGGCCCCTCGGCCTGCTCAGGTAACCTCATCTTTCATCAGATCACCAGTATTGTGTGTGTATATATATATATATATGTTTTATAGTACACTTGCAATATTAGTATAATGACTATTTATGTCATTATAAGTAAAATTAGGAAGCTCTTTTATATATAGTATAATCAACACCGTTTTTTTTGTAATAAATGTAATACATTTTATTTACACATATATACATATACAGTATACCTCTATAATTTATGTATATACTGCATTCAAATATATGAATGTATTTTACGCTAAATAATATTTTGTAACAATTTATGTGAAATATTATTTGCATTTTATAAATACAATATATTAGCATTATATAATTATTATATAATATACATAAAAACCTGTGCGATTACAAAAAGTAGAACATAATCATCTGTTGTTGTGGTAGCTAATGTAGTTATAGTTATCTTTATTGTTATCATTCTTGGTGTCTTTATTCTCTGTGTGTGTGTGTGTGTGTGCATGCGTGCATGCATGCATGTTTGTCTGTGTGTGTCTGTGTTTCTATCTCTTCAGGCTCCCCCTGCTCCATCCTCAACTTCTACGACTTTGTCCTCTCCCGGGTCAGTGGGCACAGCCACTCCGCCAGACTGCTGGTCCTCCAGCGCCCACGCAGACATGGCATCCAGCCTGGCCAAGAGACTGTGTGGTACACCAGAGCGCATTGAGCTGGAGAACTACAAACCCTGCCCACAGCAACAGGACAGCCCACTGCAGGAGGTTCCAGAGGAGACGCTCGCACAGCACAACCTCAGTGCTAGCCTGCAGGAGAAGAACACAGAGGAGCAGTCTAGGTATCCAAAACACGCTCTTGTTATGCTCCTAATATTTACTGCCATGCTCTGTCCTGGTAAATATGTTTCTTTTTTGGTCTTCAGTAGCTCTGAGTCAGACCTAGAGGAGGAGGAGCTTGCCTGGAAGAAGGGGGAGGGGTTGCACTCCAGGACCAATGGAGAGAGAGAATTAGACCTGGGGGAGGGGTTAAAGGGGGAAGAGGGAGGGGAAAACCAGGAAAAACAAGAGGAGGAGGAGGATGAGGAGGAGGAGGAAGCAGAAGTTTCAGAAGAAGAATATGAAGAGGGAGTGTCTAGTGATGGTGAGTGTATTTTCATATTCAATATCTTTAGAAATGACTAATAAAATGAGCAAAAAAAGTTAAATCTTATCTGAAATTTCTTTACTATATAGCTTGTTTATTTCAGAGAAATCATCTTAATATAAGGTATTGTTCAACTTGTAAATTTTTTGGTGTCATAATCTCACAATATTTTGGTCAGTGTATTTGTGTGTGAGGTAAATATTGTCATGCTTGTTTGTATGCGTTTATTGTTGTGTATTCACGACTGTATGTGTGTATTTTGGGCTGTTGACACAATGTGTATGTATGTGTATAGAGGGTGAGTACTGCCCTTGGGAGAAGGAACGGCTCTCGGGGGTGTGGCTTGAGGAAGAGGAGGCGGGGTTTGTTCAAGGTAGCACCACCCCCGATGACCATTTATAGCCTTCTTTAGCATTTGCTGCATTACTTTAACCCAAAAGATCTTGTTTGCAGGTTATTTCATTCGCAGGCTGTGCATGAATAATAGTGTGTTTTAATCTGTGTATATTTTGTAATTGCATTGGCTTTTATGTTTTTGGGTTTTGCTGAATTTTATTGAAATAATTTGCAGTTGTTTAAGTTTGGCTGTTTTAAATATTTGGCAAATTATTCATACATGTGTCCTAACCAGGCATGGCATAACAAGATTTCATGTAGTAATTTATCTGCCCACGCCGAAAGCAATAATGCTGCCGTATGTAAACAATCAGAACACATTTGCTGTCCACCTTATTTTAACATACGGGTGAGATCGGCTATTTGTAACATGAATGTGTGATGCTTCCGGTTTTACCCATTTCCAGTTATTTTTAGCTGAACAAAACAGTTTGTTATGCTGCTTGATATTGCAAACTGGTATTTCTTATCATATTATTTTAATGTATTTTCATATTTACAAAGACACTGGTATGTAGAGCAAATAGTTTTACCATTTACTGCACTTTTAACCACAGCACTGTTATTCTTAATAAATCAGAACATTCACAGAAAATAGCTAGCTTCCGCATTGCAAAATAAGGTGGATATATATATATATATATATATACTGTATATAAAAAAAGCAACTGGCCAAGTGGCCAATAAAATGTTTTGTTGCTTTAACGGACTATGCCTGGTTAGCACATACAGTAGTGTGGTGTTAATCACTTTTGCATTTTTTGAAGTATTAATGAAGAAATTTGCCTACTTTATAGATCCCAGACAGTAAAAATCGATGCACAAAAAAAACATACTCAAAAATACAATGTTTCACATGGTACATACATATATGGATAATATAGTTGGTATCTGTCAAAAGTGAAAAACCTCCAAAATTATAAAATGACCCATACCATCTTTATCATCTTATCTTTTTCAGGCTGCTTCATGTTACTGCTTGTTTAAGAACATCTGAAAGGATGCACCGCTTCCCCCGCAAAGCTATTTTGTTAAGGTTCTAGAACTCTAGAATTTTTCTAGATTCTAGAATTCTTTCACATTCTCATTAGATTTTTTTCTTTATCCTTTCATTCTTTTATTAACTAGAGTCCAGTGAAGGGTACAGTGACGACCCAGACATAGATGCCAGCTCAGTCAGAGAGTCCAAACCATGTGACCAACAGGAAGAGTCCATTCCATTCCACCAATCACCTACCTCTATAGAGTTCCTACCCTCCTTGAAACAACCACAATCAGGCCACACACCCACACCTGAGCTGTCGACAAACCCCGAGATCCCACCTGCCAAGAGGTCAGAGGTCGTGGAGGAGTTCTGGCTGAGGAGTGCTGAGATCAGGAAGAGTTTAGGCCTGATTCCGCTGCCTGGAGAATTCCTCCCCAAACATAAGGCAGCTCAAACATCAAATGCTAAAGAAAGCTTTTACACCTCAGTCACATGCAATAACGCTGCTTTGGATTCTGCCAACCAAATGGCAAGAAACTGTGACTCCAGCACACAAACTCCCTCTCTGACAGACTTTCAAAGTACATCCCCACCTGGACCATCTCCCACTATGGATGGCGATACAGGCGTCGCTTTAGAAGAGGCGATCGGCCGCTGTTCTGTAATCCACAGACTCAGCATCACTGTAGAGGGTTGTGTGATGGCGGACAAGCAGGGTTTGGATCTCAATTCCACATCATTTGCCAATGAAAGTGTTTTAAATTCAGACGCAGGTCTTCCGACACCTCCCTACAGCCCATCTCCCTCCCCTCTTGTCAGCAAGCAGTGTCGCGCCTTTCGCCACTCCGAACCCATACTGGACCGAGAGGTTATGGCATTCACATCTACCTACGCTGCTTGTGTCCCACAGCGGGACGGTTTTAAACCAGAACTCGATCAAGCTCTGAGTCTTCCCCCGGATGAAATTGAGATCCTGTGTGGGGATGAGGCGGAAGAGGCTTCTGGACTGCCAGAAAGTTCTGGCGTTGTGGAGACCGGCGACACGGTCAGCGCGACGGACAACCGTAGGCTAGAGCACAGGAGGACGCTCCCGGACCGGCTGGTCGCCCCACTGCTGGCAGGGGGACCCGAGGTCAGGCTTCGTAGGTCAGAGATAAAGCTGTGGGGGGCGGACAAGGGTGTGGAAGAGAAGGAAAAAAAGCGCAGCTTGTTGTTTTCGCCCCGTAAAAGCAAGAAGACCATGAATGCAGCAGCTGAAACCCAGCAGGAGCCAGGGAAGCACAAGTCCCTCTGGAAGACTGTTTTTTCAGTGTATAAAAAGGACAAAAAGAGGAAGGAGGCAGTGGTGGTGGCAGAAACTCTACCTGCCGCAGCTAACACTGAGAGTAAGCGGAAAGTGCCGGGTATCAACAGAACCGCAGGTGAGATTGATGGATCTATAAATAAAAGGTTTCACATGAACTAGTGGATGCAAGGTTTTATGTCTTTCCTCATCTCAGACCTGTGTTTCCGGAAGAATCCAAGTTTTTCTGAAGACACAGACTTGTCCTGCCATGCTCTTCTAGAAAGATGTCCTCTCAGAGTTCAGGTAGAGTAAAACACTCCCTCTTCTTGGATTCTCACTTTATTGCCTTTCCTTATTTTAATATTTTTTAAATATTTTTTTATATTTGTATTATATATATATAATATTGTATTATAATGTGTACATATTTCAAATTTCTTTTTTTCCCGTGGTTCACTTTAATGTTAGCCTATTTTTTGTGATATATTTGTATCTTATATTCTATATTATATAAATACTTTTCTTTGCACAATTTTTTTTTTTTACTTTTTCATGACCATTTCACCCTTTTCTCTGATCCTTGGACTTAAATGGACCATTTTTTCTGCTGTGCCTATAAAACTTGTACAGTACCTGTACTGTATGTAAACGTCCTTTTCACATGTGGAGCTTTGTGTCAGAAGTCTAAGAATTTCAGAATGAGTCTTTTTTGCAGCTTAGTTCCAATAAATTGTGTTTTTATATTCTGAAAGACAGTACATTTTATAGTACAATGGACTCTTTTTGTTGAAAAATCAAGCACATTATGATTTCTCACAATATAGTTATAATATATAGTTTTTTTATTTTTGCCTCTCAGTTTTCTTTTGTATTGATCAGTATTGATTTTTGTCTTTTACTGTACATATTATGGTTCTCTTCAATCTTCGAATAGTTCAATTATTCTCTTATGGCATCCGACAATAGGACTCTTTGTCTGGCATTCATCCGTGACTCCCCTAGAGTTGTATAGCTGGACTGATGGAAACATTTAGCGCTTTGTGAAACTTTAGAGGCAATCAAATGTCTTTATTTCTGGCTGCTGTGCTCTCAGATGAGGGAGGAATTGTCTGACATCAAGTCAGACCTTCTGAAAGAAACAGTATATGAAGAGGGACATGAAGGGGAAGAGGTATCATATTATTGCACTGAATTCTCTTCAGACTTTAGATTGTGATGCTGAAACTAGCTTGTAAAGCACAGTTTTCTGTGGTTGGTAGTTCATAGGTTTGTATTTTGTATTGGTTTTACCTGAAGTTTGTGCTGTGGGTAGAACTGTTTACCTGTTGTACTCGAAATACAGTTTAGATTAATACAATTTCTACGTTCTCTCTCCCGAGACGCTTTACGTGCCTCATGCGTTGGCGTTCAAGAGGGCGTACGCTGTTAAGGTAGCATCTTTTATTTAACATGTTTTGAGCCCCTTCAACCTTTAATCCCATTGGCTGAATCAGAAACACTCAGGATCTTGTTCCTCAATAGAAACAGAAAAGTGTTTTTCCTGAGCGGCCAACCAAGGAGGCCACCCAAGTGTCATCATGTCCGTCAGAGGTGGTAGGTGTTTGGGTGGTGTTCCCGGACCCCTCCAGCATAAGTATGTGTACCACGCTGTTTCAGAGAGCAGGAACGGAGGAGGAACTCAATGCAAAGCTGACACGGCGAGTTCAGAGAGCAGCGCGCAGACAGGCCAAGCAGGAGGAGCTGCGGAGGCTGCACAGGGCACAGGTGTGTGTGTGTGAGACATCTTTTGAAGCTTCATTGTTTGTTTGTCTCTTAAACGGCGTGTATTTATTTTTGTGTATGTCGTCTCAGATAATCCAGCGTCAGTTGGAGCAGGTGGAGGTAAAGCAGAGACAGCTGGAGGAGAAGGGGGTGGCTGTGGAGAAGGCCCTCAGAGGCGAAGCAGGTACCTGTCAATGACCTGTCACTTTCTCCTCAAACATCAGCCTTAGGAATAATATTTTATTGAAAATTGTTAATCAATTTGGTCATTTAAAGATACAGATAACTGATTGAGTTGCATTCAGATATTTAAATTATATTATTGTCAGTTATAACTTTAATAAGCACTTGTCTGTGTTGTTTCAAGAAGATTATGATGACATTTTATTATATGATATAAAATTATATTATATAATAAAATAACTAAAAATACCTCCATATCTAAATAACTTTCATACAGCAAGGATGCAGTAAATTGATGAGAGTAAAGACAAGGATTTTATTTCAAATAAATGCTGTTTTTTAACTTTCTATTTATCAAAGAGTAATATAATAAAATAAATAAAAGTATCTAAATTATCTAATAATAAAATCGTAAAGCGTTGCATGAGACATTAACCCTGCTGAACCCCCCCCTCCCCCCCAGCTTATACCCCCAAGTATATTTTTTCACTTAATTTAAGCTTAAATCATGTATAAATTATATGTATTTATTTAATATTTTAGGCATTTTATGATGTACTGTGAAATGTCACCATCTATCACTGTTCATACCCATTATATATCTGTTTACAAAGTCTTGTGTTCATCAAAAACACCATCTTCTATTGCTACATTAGCATATTTGCTGAAACACATTGTAGAGACAGAGCAGCACAGGGTATTATGTTTCCTGTGACTTTTAAGGGTCACGGTCCTCATGATGTGTCCTTCCTCATGATATAGACTTCTGGGAAGACTCTAGTACCTCTGACCTCTTGGACGTACATCTGGGTGGTATGTACAACACATTTGATTCGAATGAGCGCTGAAGACACTAACAAACAGCTTTACCGTCTTACAGGCTCATTAGTTATGTGTTAACATAAATTAAACATCCGTTTTAGTATCTTTATGTTAACATGGTGGTGTTTTTCCCCGTGCTGTGGACACTGTCCTGTCTGCTTGCTGTTAGCTTTGTGTCTGAATTGAATCTAGATGCTCGTGGTAGCATTATTTGGTTGGTATCGTCTGGTGGGTGTGACTGTGGGACATGAGGTTTGAATGGCAGGACTGTTAGTAATACAAATACTGACTTTTGTCAGGGTAGATGGTGTATTTCGGTGCTATTTTATTTTAGAAAGACATGGGGACGTTTAGGCAAATCTCTCTAGTGGCCTACTTTCTGAGACAGCAGGTTTTCAGTCAGATCACTGCCTGGACATGAACATCCAACTCGACCCATTTCAGCTTCGCACCTCCCATGCCTCCATTATTCCCTCTTTCGGTTTGTTTCCCTCCTGAATACCTCCTCTCCCTTTTTTTCTGCTCGTCTCTTCGGTCTTAGTCGAGCCTTTTCTGGGTTCTCCTCGTAGAAGGCCTGTCTATCTCTGTCCTTGCTGTTCCCCTGAAGGTAACGCCACCCCAGCTTCCCGATTTTACCCGATTGTAGATTTTTTTAGAGCTATAATTACTAAATCCTCCTTTTTTCTCCTCTCCTCTCTTCTCTTTCTTCCTTCATCCTGCTGTACACAGCCAAAGCTAAAGGGACAGAACACGATCATTCAATTTATGTGTGTACAGTCTTTTTTCTTTATGTAGTGCAAGAACCTCCACTACACCAGCTAAGTATGTTATTGCTCTCCTGCAATCTTAATTTACACTCTCTAACCTTTCGTGATGGAGTTGCATGGGCATGGCATGTCATTGGTCTGCATGGCTGTCAGTAGATCTAAAATGTCAGTAGATCAATCAAGTATTATTCGGGAATTGCTATATGAAAAGACACAGTATGTGTGTACAGTATGTGTGTGCTGATGTTTTTGTATTATTGTCTTGTCTGTAGCAGTGTCCTGTTTGGTTTTGTCTGCTTGCACATTGCTATTAATTTATGTAAATACTGTTCAGTGTTCAAGAGTTAGGGGTCAGTAAGATTTTATTTTATTTAAAAATTTTTGAAAGAAGGACGCAAGGACGCATTAAGGTTATCAAAAGTGACATTTGTAATGTTACAAAAGATTTCTATTTCAAATAAATGCATTTCTTTTGAACTTTCTATTTATCAAAGAATCCTGAAAACAAATTCCATGGTTTACACAAAAATATTAAGCAGCAGTTTTCATCATTGATAATATTAATAAGAAATATTTCTTGAGCACCAAATCAGCTGATGGAACATGTGACTCAACTTCAAGTTTAACCATGTTATATTGAGGGATAAAATCTAAAGCCAATTTTTACTTGTATTTCAGTGCTCGACAAGTGTTCATTTGACCCTTTTATAAGCATTATTCATGCATGTGAATGTTAGCGTGTCCATCACATACAGGGTCCCATCCTCATCCTCTCTCTCTCTCTCTTTCTCTCATAGGAATGGGAAAGAAAGATGATCCTAGTTTAATGCATCAGTGGTTTAAGCTTGTGCAGGAGAAGAATGCACTCGTGCGCTATGAATCTGAGCTCGTGATATTGTGAGTATTTTACGTTCAGCTTTCCGAAGTCTCTAAACTGTGGATTGATCTGGCGATGTGTAATGTGTGGTCAGGTGTAATGTGTAAGTGTGTTCTTCTCTATCTGGTCTAGTAATGTTTGATTGCTCTGTGCTCATCTGTGTGGTCTGTCCGCAGTGCTCGTGAACTGGAGCTGGAGGACAGGCAGAGCCGTCTGCAGCAAGAGCTCAGAGAGCGCATGGCCGTGGACGGTTAGTACACACAGAGGATATAAATCGTTCCTCCACTGTGGTTTTCTCACATAATGGTTCTTCAGTTAATAACAATTCCATTTCAGTCACACAGCTTCGTCTGTCTCTCTCTCTCTCTCTCAGACCATCTGAAGGGAGAGGACGAGCTGGCGGAGGAGAGGCGTATTTTGAGCGAGATGCTGGATGTGGTGGAGCAGAGGGATGCGCTGGTGGCCTTGCTGGAGGAGCAGCGAGTGAGGGAGAAAGAGGAGGATGGTGACCTGGAGTCAGTTATGCTGTCTAAGGGCTTCAGTTTGCACTGGGACTGACTCGCACATGCACGAATCTCATCATACCGCTTGAAGGGCTCCAAAAATATGCAGCTGCTGTTTTCATTGGTCCAAACAGGCCCGTCCACCTGCATTCTGGGCCGCGTGTGCAACTACATAGGTGTCTAAGTAATGAAAACCAGAACTCAGCAAAATATTGGCCCATAAGTGATACTCAGTTATCTGAGGTGCAAAATAAAGCCTCTGATTAGAACGAGTGGCGATGTCTTGCTGCCAAATAATGCTCCTCTAAGACTGCTATGCTACTATGCAAAAGAACGTCTTTTTGTCTGCTCTCCTGGTTGTCTTATTTCAAACAGCTGGGTAAAGTCAAGCTACAGCTGTAATTTTACCCAGATTCATCATGTTTTGACTTGACAGAAATGAATATGAAATGGCATATATAACCACATTGTCATTGTGCAGTACAGACTGACGCATGCAAACGTATATACACAAGATAAGGCCTGTCTTAATGTGTGATTGAGATGTTTTTCTTTTTTTTCTTTTCTTTTTTTTTTAACCTAATTTACAACTGTTCCTGTTGTTTAACCTACATAAGCTAACCTCACACTGTCAATTCTCAGTATAGAGACATTAATTTATTGGCTGAAATGTTTTTTTTTTTTTTATATTGATTTTTTCAGCATAACTGTACTTTACATTTTGTTGTTATATTCATTCTGTAACACTTCCTTGCATTAAACAACTTTTTATTTGAGAATAATTTGTGGACTATTACATTTTCATTTTTTTATTTTGTTTTTTGGCATGAAAACCATGAATATGGTACACTTTGATGTCCTATAACTTTTTTAATGCATTAGTAATAATACTCATACTGATAAGTACTAAAAATTATATTATATTTTTTGTAATAACCAAACTTATTTATTATTATTAATTTATTATTTATTTGTTATAAAAGGCCTAGTTTTTTAATCATTTGTCTGTTTAATTTTAATGTTGGCAACTGGTGCAAAAAATGTAAACACCCAAAAAATAAAAAAAATAAACAGCTCATATAAAATTTAGTTTGACCTCTTGAGGCTGTCAGTCAAAGATTTCCCTTAAAATTAAATAAAAAAAACAACTCTGCATTTCTCCTCTAGCGTACTTCCTAATCTAGTTTATTGACACGTTGCTTTTGCTCCTCTTTTGTAGGCTAAATCGCTTTGGATAAAAGCATCTGCTAAATACATAAATGTAAATGAAGTCTATGCATCGCTTTACATAGCCTAAACCCTTTGTCGAGAGAAAGGTTTCAGGGCCTAAATGTGCCTTGTGCACACTTATTTCTAAATTTAACATATTTTGGGGAATTATAAGTTTAGTTTTTTTAAAATATATTTTTAATAAGCCTCGTGACGTTTTGAACTGCGTGTGAACGGGCGCCCCCTGCTAAAAAAAGGCCAGTAGTGTTTTTTTCCCTGTGGATTTCCAGCAGTGACGGTAAACGGACGGAGTGAAGTCACGCCTCTCCATCTTTCCTGCTGTTACACTGTTTCCGTTCGTGGGAAAACTTACTGCCTTTCCGATTTTTTCGAGCTCTTGAACTTTTCCCGACCACCATGAAAGCAAAAATCTGCTTACCGATAGTTTATATGCGTTTAACTTATATTGGTCACAGTTAAAACACCACTAGACCTCTATATAAACAAAAAAGCAAACGAAAGTGAGGGAGAGTTTCACTCGGAAAGAAGAAAGCAAATCGGAAATCCTAAGTTGTGCTTCCAATAAGGTGAGTAAGGCTTAAAAAACGACGAAAACGTTATACTTTTGTATGAAAATGTTTATATTTGTAATATTTACAATTGTGCACTAAGACACTATTCTCTTAGCTTGTTGTTGCTACTATTGATGTTTATCAGTTGCTCGTGTAGGCTATGTTTATATCAGTTTAGGGAAATACTATCAGTTTTGTTTTGTTATGTGGCTGTAATGTGTTATTTAAACAAAACAAAAAAGTATATGGAAGTTTAATAAGTGTGTATGGGATAATTTCTGCTACTACGGAAACTAGTTTTCTGTTATGGAAACTGGAAAGATAGCTAATGCTTATTACGCAGATATAGACGTACAGTAGATTGAGTAGATTTGTCTGTATTCACGTAGAAGGAGTGCAGCTGTGTTCAAGACCTACAGTTGAATAGCATTCAGGAAACTTCTTCTCGGTTGTTCAGAGAGGTACGATGCGCCTCTCCACGCGTGCGCGAGCCCGCAGGCTGTGATTTGCGCTGCACTGGAATGTGCAGAATTGGCGCAACTAAAAAGCGCATAGTTGAAAGCAGCTGCTGCCTGTAGACTCATGGAAACATTGACAACATTTGCATGCACATCATTTCCCTATTAAGGTCTGTGTTTACTTTTAGCCTTTAATCTGGAAGCTCTGCAGCTTCTGAAACATTACTGTAAATCAATCTGCCCAATATGTAGCCTACTAAATCGGATGGATTAATAGCCTACAATTTAAATAATTCACTTTAAATATTAACTCAATATTCTTAACATAATTTGAGTAATTTGCAAAGATAATAAGTAGGCCTATGGTATAAATAATGTAAACACACACACACACACACACACACACACATATGATATATATATAACTTGATTCTTAATACATTGTGTCGTTACCTGGATGATCCACGGCTGTTTTTTTGTGTGTGTGTGTGTGTGTGTGTGTGTGTGTGTGTGTGTGTGTGTGTGTGTGTGTGTGTGTGTGGTTTTTTCGTGATGGTTGTTCATGAGTCCCTTTTGTCTTTAGCCGTTAAACTGCCCAATGTTCTTCAGAAAAATGCTCCAGGTCCCACAAATTCTTTGGTTTTCCAGCATATTTGAACCCTCTCCAGCAGTGACTGTACGATTTCGAGATCCATCTTTTCGCATTGAGGACAGTTGAGGGACTCATTCACAACTATTACAAAAGGTATAAACAAAATTTATGGAGATGCTGGAAAACCAAAGAATTTGGTTGACTTTATATAAATGACTGTATATACATGTTCAGAACATTGGTTAAGCCTGTGGTCTTTACAGATCAAATTTGACCTATTTATGACCTTCCATTCACCATTTGGCCTTTCGTCTTTTTATGCCATGTTGAAATACATTTTTTCTGGATCCCAGTATATCTCATCAATTACCGCTCATTATTCTGGCAATCGGTTGTTAAATGTTCACTCAAGCCTCTCTGCTTTACATACTTAAATTACCACTTAGTATTCATATCAGGCTGACCAAGCCACTAGCAGCCAGCCAAGATAGTAGAGATAGCACAGTATCCGATTCTAATACCACTAGAGGGCAGTGCATCACAAAATTGCTTGCACCTCTAAAGAGGTCACGTGATTAGAGCTAAATAGTGTAATTAAAACAGAGAAAAGAGATCAAGTGTGAACTGGAGCAGGTCAGAGCACAGCATCTTTTGAATAGAAAGCAGAATAAAGCACTAATAACATAATTAAGGACCGAGACAACACAGAGTACGTCCTGTGCTGAATGTTCGCATCAAGGGCATTTTTACAATAACTGATTTTTAATGCTTTATAACTTTATGCTGTTCTTGAACTAACCTTAAACTTCACACTCATTCAAAACAACTTATGCACATTGGCTTGCTTTTTTTGTTAGGTTTCAGATGCATGAAAGGGAATTCATTTACCTGTTAAAGGTAAAATCTAATTTATCAAAGTCCTTCTTTCCATTCTGACAATGAAAATGTAATTTTCTGCATGGAAGGCATCTTTAATATTCATACGTGTGCAGGGAAGCTAAACATTAGAAATGCCATTGCTTGAAACAGTTGGTCTAATGAAAACGCCATAAATATATTGGACAGGCTGTTCTGTTATTGCTGTTGTTTTAGTCATGCTGCATACAGTCATCATATAAGTCTTCAGTTCAATGTGACTCATATTACTCTCTAGCGTGGACATGATGTGCGTTGACAGACATTTCAACAATACAAAAGTATTGTTAATATTTGTATAGGTACAAACCCAAGAGAATGGCCACTGTCACCTGCCCATATACGGGCAACCTATATTTACTTCACTATATTACTATTAAATCCTAATCTAGTCATGACAAACTATATATCGTTGGAAAGGTCTAAGACTCCTTAATAGATATTTTAGTGCTGTTTTTTTCTTACAAATTATGCATGAACAGTAATATATGAATTTATGACAAGAGTGCGCCTCAAAAAATCGACGTCATTACAGGAGTTTCTGACCTTTGTCACAAAAAGTTGACGCACACACTTTTAATAATTGAAACTTTGGTTTTTAATGCTAAAAGTTCATAATAAAACATAATCTAGTATTTGTCAATAAAAAAAGATAAAATTATATTTTAAAAGTATAATATATATATTATATATATATATTATTATTATTTTTTATTACTATATCACATAATCACATATTTTAGTTGTTATCATAAATTAGGTATCATTTGAAAGCTTACGAACTCAGAATTCATCCTTTTTTTAATAGGCCCCTCCCCTTTTGGGCATCATCTTTCATAATTTATTATCAAAAATGTTCTAATCTTGACAAAACACATATTGTCAGAAAGGTCTGAGTCTCAAGGTTACATATTTAGTAACAGAAGTGATATTTGGATAGAAATTTATTAATTTGTTATGGCAGAATGCATACAATTAAATTCAATGGAATGCAATGGCACCCGGTGGCTATTTTTGGTATTACGCCTAAACAAAATCTCATGGGAACTTCAATGTTTGTGATATCAACTTCAAATTTGGAACACAACTTGGTTAGATATATGGCTTTGACTTTCTGTCATTTTAAGGCTGAAACCTATATTAATTTATGTATATTTTTAATAATATATCATTTTAATAATTCTATTAATTTATTCCACTTCAGCAATAATCTGCCAAGAGTCTTCTTTTAAAAGAGACCAACCATAAGTCTTTAGTACAAAGGCTTCATGAATTACAACCGATTAAGTTTGGGTATAGTGCATTTTCACGTCAACGCTCAAAAAGGGGGGTGACAGCTAAAGGGTCAAAAGGCTTTTATGTGTGAATGCAGATGTGTTGAAAAACATGAGTGTGTAGTATATTGCATCATTAAATTATACCACACCTCAGACATCTTTGTTGCAGACCTTGATATGTGGCCTTGTTAGGAGATGATCGACGATATTCACTTCTCCTCTGACTGTTCATAATGATTTGGCTCATCAGTGTACATTTGCATCCGAGAACCATTAGAAAACCTGTGCTTATGGGTTGTGGGCAATATTAGCCCTAAAAGCATGCATATTCAAATGCATACTTGAAAATGGTATGCATGTGGGTTACCTGTAAAAACATATTATGATTTGGGGCCGGCTAATACTAAACTGGCAGGCTGTACCCTGGTGAAAAAAAAAAAAGCTAAGTATACTTGCAGCCAGACTAATTATCAGTATACTTCAAGTGTGTTAATGATTAGTTAACTTGACGTGTGCTATTTTGAAACAACTCATTTTGTACTAAGTATATTTTAGTTTTAATTAAATTGTAGTAAAGCATATCTTTAAGTGTATTTAGTGTACTAAATTGGACCAACTTACTTATAGTATACGCCTCTGTAGGGACTAATTACATGCTTGATTAGTGATATTAAAGTGTACTTTATTTATGTTTCAAGAACGTTACAAATCCATTACGAGTGTCTTCGAAACAAGCAATATACCATAAGTGTGTTTTTTTGGGTGTTTTCGCCTTTTATTAGGATAGGACAGTAGCTAGACAGGAAGTGAGGTGGGAGAGAGAGGAGGGATGGGATCAGAAAAGGCCAGGACTCGAACTCGGGTCTCCCGAAGCACATGTCGATGGGCAAGTGCATCGACTAATAATGTACATTATTTGTCTAATAATGTACATTTGTTATTGAAGACAAAGTATATTATTAGACAAATAAAACTTAGCTATACTTTGTACAAAATACTATAATGATGTATTTTGAAAGTATACTTTCAATGCATTGTTACAATGATCATTTCCAGCACAGTTAAAATATACCTAAAATATATTTTTAATAAAGTGCAAATAAATACACACTTTTAAAAAATAAACAGAATTTTCACTTAAAGTATATTTTTCGAAAATACACTAAAGTACAATTATTTTAAAGTGTGTTAAAAGTTGTATTGTGAAAATAGGTAAAATAATGATGCTAATATTTAAAATATTTAAAGATAGTACAATTTTTGTTAGTATATTTGCAATGTACTATTTAAAAAGGGAATATATTTCAAATACAATAAAGTATACTTTTTTTCACTAGGGTAGTATGTACAATTGGACAGTTAGTATGCAAATAGTGATTCATGCCAGGTAGAATGGTTTTATTTTAGGCAACTACTTGTGTAGTTCATTAAGCCGTTGCTTATGACACACCATATGTGACTTCACCTGTTTTTTCGTGCTCTTTATTGACTGTAGCTGCTGTTTAATTCTTAGAAAGAAAAAGTATAGCAGGTTAAAATAGCTTTTTGCTTGCTGGAGGAGGAAAACAGCACTAATTCTCTTCCTTCTTTCCCAGTACGCAACTTCCATTTCCCATAGAAAGTGTTGGAAAGTGCTTTTTTGCCAGCAAGTCAACCAGCATTCCCTGGATGGAGAGTTAATGGTAGTTGATTTACATATAGGGCAGACTGTTCGGGAATAAATCCCTCTTGAGTGCCCAGAGAGTGCGCTTTACATGCAAGCTGGCGTGTTCATCTGAACAAAATGGCCTGTTTGTAACCACAGTCATGTACAGTGAGAAACGTTCCTATAAAGACTAGAAAAGTTTGTTGTCTCAGAGGGATCTAAGTGTGTGTGTGTGTGTGTGAGCAGTATACTGAGCAGATCGGCAGGCAGATGTTCATTATAGCGTTTTATTATTGTGCTTCCTCAGAGTCTGTTTAAATAATATTCCTTAAACACACATCTGGGCATCTCAGCAGTTACTACATACTGTGGGATCCAAAACCTAGATATAAACAGCAATTTAGATTTTTTAAAAACAAAGAAAAATTCTAATATAAATTTAATGAGAAATATTAAAGATTCTGTACTATTTTCCCCACATATAATAATATATAATATACATTATGATTATAAAGCTATAAACAAAATCTGAATAAAAAGCTAAATAAAAGCATTTTTACCACTCAAACTAGTACATATGTGATTGAGTTTAGAAAGAAATTGAATCTCCTGAAGCATATATAAAAAAAATATATAAAGTTCTCCAGACATAGTACTTTTCTGGCATGATTTACATACTGACAGAGTACCAACATGTGAACATGCACAAATGATGCAAGAAATGGTCATAAAAACAATAATAATATGCAATAAAATACACGTTCAGCAAGACTTTGGTAAATATTACGAAAATCAATTAACTTTAAGAATACTTCTGTTACACTCTCTCTCTCTCTCTCTCTCTCTCTCTCTCTCTCTCTCTCTCTCTCTCTCTCTCTCTCTCTCTCTCTCTCTCTCTCTCTCATCAGATGTCTTGCAATCCTCTCTGTCTTCTATTCTCTGTATGTATAATAAATGACTGGTTCCTGCCTGTGGATGCGTTAAGTACCTGTGAACAGATATTTTGCACTGCTTCTCCTGTTATGTTCTATTCAGGCACCCAGACAGCTGCCACGTGAGACGCACAAGCCATAAAATATTCCATAAGAGCACATAGTGTTATGTGCTACTTTTTGGGTATTTAGACATGTGGTACTACTACATGTGCTGTTCCTGTAAGAACAGATTAGAATCAGGAGTTTAATTTTAGCAAATAGTTCACCCAAACAAAGTATGTTGCAGTGTACTTGTTTCGCAATACCAAAATTATGATCTTATAAGTTATAATCACACTGAAAATTTTGGAATCACCATTACATTTTTATTGTTTTTGAAAGAAATGTATATTTACCCAGTCATGGCTGTCTGTCAGTCATGACAAATGTCAGTTCTGGTTGTATAAATTAACATAATTTAATCTTTAATGAACGAACATGATTTAACAATGGAAAAAAAAATATTTAGAAATTAATTTTAATTTAGATTATTAAATGGTTGTTAAAAAATGCTGCTCTAGATACCTAATGCATTAACTTATTATTGCAAAAAATAGTTATTAATCTTATTTCAAAATGTTGTTTTGACTATTTTTTTTTCCAAAAAGATAAATGCTCAAAATATTCAATTTATTTATAAAGCATAAATTAATTTTCTTAGTGATTCCAATGTAGTGTATTGTATAGTGAAACCTCACAGTTATAACTTTATTTTATATTGACTTGTAATGAAAATCCCCATAAAAAACTGTGCCAAAATAGGCTAATTAAAGGAACAATTTACATTTATGGGAACCCCTCAAAAGTATTGGTGTACAAATTTGCTGGCAGTGTGTGGAGCTGTGAGAAATTGTTATCCACCATAACAGCAAAATAAACACTTTTCAGTTAATAAAATCCTGTCTAATGAGTTTCCTGAGTACATCAGATCTCACAAAACATCCTCGGGGTGAAATACACAGTCAGCTCCATACAACACACACACACACACACACACACACACACACACACACACACACACACACACACACACACACACACACACACACACACACACACACACACACACACACACACACACACACACTGTTACACAATGTCACTATGCCATTTAATTAGAGTGGAAAGAGCACTGGAGAGAAAGAGCAATTATAGCTAACAAAATAGTAAAAGGAGGATCTCTACAGAAATATACACACACATGCATGTTTAGTTACGTAAATACATTTTTTGTACATATATTAACCAAATTATAATAATTCAGGCTAACCTTGCTTCAGGCTTCACTCTATCTCACATTAGAGGTCAGTAATCCTAGCCAGTGGTTAAATCAGGATCACTATCAACAGGAAAGACTCTCTTTGAATGTGACTTTGGTTTGATAGATTGAAATGGGAATGAGAGACTGCAGTCTGGACTGGCATCCGAACGTTTGTAACTTCAAACCTCTCAAAGTTAATCTAATTATTATCTATTAAGTTAATGCTGTTCAGGGTAGAGGGTGTTTTGTGGGGTTGTTGGTAGCTGGTTGGTTGGGTGTTTTAGATTCTAGGGGTTTGTATATTTTCTAACAATGCAGTCAGGTTTTTTTTCTTTCCATTAAGGGGCCAAACAGTAAAATTTGGCAAATGTCAATGTAAAGACAAAACTGTATTAAACATATTTAATTAATGTACGTTTGTACATTAACTTTGACAGAATTAAAAAAAACAAAATCACATTTTTACAGAGCACCAAATTCATAACCCAGTTTGAAAAGCCCTGTATTATTGGTTTCATATTTTCAGCAGGCAGACAGTAAAACAAAGCAAATGCATGTTGTCTTTAAAGTTTGTTTAATGTGTAAATGTGTGTTTAAAGTTCATGAAGAGCACCATCACATAGCACCCAAAAAAAAACAAAAAAAACATCAGATCCACTCTCTAAACTTGGTAGGCTATTACAACAGCGAAATGATTTGGAAACATTAGCACTGCACAATCTCTCTGCAGAATTGCTCTTAGGCGAGATGGCATGCGCACACATGCAAACTCGCAGGAGTTACACATACTACTGCACACACATGTGCTAGGATTTGTTTTATTCCCTCAATCAGCTTTCATTTTCTCGCTTGGCTTGTGATACTTTCAAAAGGTACGTGGGAAGGGAGATAACGCATCCATTGACCTGCAAACAGATTGCCCAAAGTGTAGGAGGAGGAGCCAAAGAGAGAGAGAGAGAGAGGGGGATGAGTGGATGAAGGTAGGTGGATGCAGAGAGAGTGACGGAGCGCTAGTTGGGATGGAAAAAGCCGGGAGAGCAAAATCTCTAATAATAGCACTGCAGGGAAGCGAGAGCGTGCAGAGAAAAAAGTGGTACATGCAGCAAAGCGAATCATGCTGAACCAGAGCAGTGAAAGAATGCGATGGAGCGAGAGCGGGGAAAGTTGAAAACGCATGCTCCACATTCCCACACGCAGGATAGAAAAGGCAGAAAGAAGAAAAAGATAAATACCAAGCACAGGGAGAAAGGCGTGCTCAGTGCAGAAGAATTACGGATCAAAGACCCGTTGGAGAAGAAGGCACTTAGACATCTGTAACCTCCAAAGTTCTGGTGTTTATGCGAGCGCGTCTGTTTCATTTAAATCTGTTTCCTTCAAATGGTAAATTTGAAGACATGTGCTAAGTTGCAGCTTGTGTGAGTCTGTGTGTGAAACATGCCCTCTGCTCTGCCTTCATCCGATGATGCAGAGGTGTGAGAGCCACGAATCCGAGGTCCAGCGTAGCCCCTCATTGGACAGCGCAGAGTCAGAATTCACCCGGGCGGCCCGTCGGGGTCACCGCCTGGCAGTGGGGGCTTTCTATGGCTCCCGGGGCTCAAATGTCAAAGATCAAACAGCACAGAACGAAGGAGCCGTAGTTGCGGTCCCGCCGGGAGGAAAGCCTCAGGATACACGCGTGTCTGCCCGTGGGAAGTATGTTGTGTTTTACCTGGACTTGTCGTTTGTGTTGCTCCTAGAGTTCGAGAAGTTGAAGATGGCTCGTGGATGCCTGTGCTGTGTCAAATACATGATGTTTCTCTTCAACCTGCTGTTCTGGGTGAGTATACAGCATGTATTATCCAAATGTACTTGTTTAAAAAAAAATGCTTTCTCTTATCCATCTTTGATGTGCAGAGACTGTTGTTGTAAGCTAGTGTGTGTATGAGGATTTCTCCCAAAGTTAACATGGTGTCTCTGTGGCACTTTCGAAACAATGCGCTGTTTGTTTGAATGGTTCAGCAATGTTAATTTCTGGCTCAGCCACTGATGTGAGTTTGGGAAAGAGTATTAGTGTTTGATAAGCATCACTGCCAAGCATCACTATTATTACCTCTTATACTTGGGATTGTCTATTATAGACAGCTATTTATATCTTTGTATTATAGCTATATAGCTATTTGCACTATTCTGCTGCTATTAGTTGTGCCCATGGTGGCAAAATTCTTATGAGAGGAGAGTATGTGGGTTTTCAAACAGTGGATGTTCATGTGAGATTATTGGCAAATGATAAGATGCGTGGTGTTTTTGTTTTAAATACTGTGTTTTTATTTTCTCTCACAATCGTGAAAATATTAGATAATATAAAAACAACATTTGATTTAGAAAAGTAATAGAAATTAATTCAATCTTTATGTAGGCTGAAATTGCCATCTAAAGTGCTTCAATAGCTAAAAACTGGTAGTTGTGAATGTGGTCTGTATAAAACAGTTTCTAAAGATCCCAATAATCACAAACAACCTGAAAATCATGCAAATGTCATGTAACCCTTAAAAGAAATTCCAATTTCCGTCAGAAATGAATTTTTAAGACACTAATTATTTGTATTTAATTATTTATACAATTATATTCAAAATGCACTTAGCTCACAAATCAGTTTGAATGGACATGACGCTCTTGGTAATAACTGTATATTGTATATTGGTGAAAATGGATACCATAGTCAATGTTTGTAAGGGTTTGTCATGTGAGCTGAGGAAAGGAGGTTACTCATGAGGTGTTAAATGCTCTTAGATCAAAGGCAGTAATACATATTCATCTGAACCAGAGTATTCAAATGAACCACCCTCTTTTCCTCTTGCTCTCTTTCATTCTAACATCCCTTATAGGCTCACCATTTAACTTTTCATTCATCTGTGTTGTTGTTGTAGTGGACATACAACAGGAAGTCTGTGTCAGATTATGGTTCTGTGAGTTGTGAGATTTCTCTCGTTTGATCTGCTGCGCCTGTGTGTTGTTGTTTGTTTGATTGTGAGCGGGTTTAATGACGGATGCACCAAATCACAAGCAGGAAACTTGAGAAAAAAACTCCCGACTGATCTGAAATCTCCCACTGCACACACACCCACATATACACCCATATAGCGATGGAAAGGGAACATAAAAGAATAGGGAAATTATGAAAAGATCGCAAAGGCCTGGAGATTTTACACTGGTAGACTTTAAACAGTGGGGCGGAGAGGGAATAAAAAAGACGGAGGAGGGAGAGATAAAGATAAAAGTGATTTGAAAATGAGACGCAGAAAGCTTTATATAGAATTACCTTGAGATGGAACGGTTTGTCTAAGCACTTTGGTTTTCTTTTGGTTTGCTGGAATTTAATTATGGAGTTCAATTTTTCTATTTGAATCGAAATGACTTTCCTGTTCTGAATTACAAGGTTTAGAGAGGCGTTCAATAAAGTCTTCACATAACATAATACAAAAAAAAAACTTGATCTTCCTGCTTATGTGAAAGACAGTTGACAAATCTTGTGCATTTTTATTATATTTTGCCTAGGATGTAAATGGGATGGTAATGATGTTTCTGAGTTGAGTTGAGGGGGTGTTTTAGGTTGCTGTTAATCTATATTTCATGTGTTTGACATTACTGAGCCTGATGGCTTTCAGCTCCATGTTTAATACATGAGTCAGAAAGTTAGGGCCTTCACTTTTCATAAGGTCACAAACACACAGTACACTCATTAGTGAGTGTGAGGTCAGTTTTGCATAATATGTGGTCTGTTAACACAACGGACTCAACTGACTCTCTCTTGTTGTGGCATCTTATTTCTAATACTTATTCATCAATGCTACCTACATTTTGTTCCTTTGCATTCTACCTTTTCCCCTGTCCTTTCTATTAATTTCCTTTCTTTTCTTTCCTTTTTAATTTCCTTTCCATTTTTCTTTGCCTGTCCTTTTCTATCTATTTCTTTCCTTTCTTTTTTAATTTCCTTTGCTGTTCATTTTCCTGTACTGTCTTTTTCCATTTCCTTTCCATGGCCTTCTTTTCTGATCTGGTCTTCTTTCTTTTCCTTTCTTTCTTTCCCTTTTCCTATTCTTTGACCTTTCATTTCCTTTTTAATGTTACTATTCCATTCATTTCATTCATTTCCTTTTCTATCCTTCTCCTGTCATTTGCCCTTTCCTATTTCCTTGTTTCCATCTTTTTCTATTCTTTTCCTGTCCCCTTTTTCAGCGGCGCTGGTTCCGGAAGTATTTTTTTCCATTCATTTCTACCATAGGGATTTAAAAAAGTCTTCTATAAAGCATTATAAGCCATGACCAACCAGCAGCTACAAGGTGAATCATTACATTGATTTACAAAGATGAAAGGTACAAAACTGTGTACGGCTATAGTGAGGGAAAGAACTACAATCCCATGAAGCATTGCGTACAGCACAATCAAACTAAAAGTGATGGAAATATATAAAACTATTCATTTAAAAATGTTGATTATATAAAAACAATGTTTTTGCAAAATATGCATATATATACGAATTATTTTGAGATCGTAGGGAGGCCGACTCGATTACCATTCGCAGTGCTGAGTGGGCGGAGCTAACAAACTCTTGGCGTGTTTGGCTTCTTTCGACTCAGAAGTTTCTGTGCAGCATCATGGGTATATGTAGTTTTTCACAACTGCTGTTAAACACAATTATTTTAAAACCTAGTTGAAATAATGCAGGCTGGCGGCTTAACAGAAGCAAATACCATTGATTAAAAACCTCGTAGCTCACAGTAGGTCTGTCTTTAACATTTTACATGTTATCATTAAAAATCCATTTCCCTATGGAGAAAATTAATGGCATTTTTACTTCTGACTGTTGCCCTCTATTCCTTTTCTTTTCCCTGTCCTTTTCTGTTCATTTCCTTTTTCCTTGTTCTTATCTTTTTCTTTTTTTTTTTCTTTTTTCTGTTCATGTCGTTTTCTATAATTTATTTTCGTCTCTTTTTATTCCTTTTTTCATAGTCCTCTCCTGGCCTTTGTCTTTGTCTTTTTCCTGTTATGATGACAGTTCATTTCTTGTCTCAGGCCATTTCCATTCATATGTCATGTCCTTTCCCTTTTTATTTCTTCCTTTTTCTTTTTCTCTTGTTCTTATCCTTTATTTTTTCCCCTTCTTTCTATTGTCTCCGCTGTCCTTTCTGCGGTCTTCTCTTCACACACCTTCAATTGTGTTCAATGCTGGCTACTTCAGGTCATTTATCTAGTGAATGTGTGCTTCAGTCTGCGTGTGTTACATCACAAACAAACCGTCTCCCAGTTTGAAATGCAGGATTAGATTAAGAACAAACCCATTATGAAGGATTTTCCAAAGGCAGAGAGAATAGGTTGAATTCAATTTGATTTGTTTGTGTGTCTTCATTCTGGTAGTGCATCGTGAATACTAAAATTTGGGTTAAAAGCTGTTTATTATCCAGCATGGTCTGTCTGCTCCTGTGGACAGAATAGTATTATTCTCTGCTCTTCCTGTTTATGTTTTATTTTGTTATTTTCTAGTTTGTGTGCTCTTTGGCTTATTTTTCTTGCTTGCATTTGCTCCCTAATTATTTCCTCTCAGACGTTTTGATTACTGTGCCACACTTTTCATTTTCATGGCTTTTAAAAGTTTTGATCATCTTTAACCTATTTTTCTGACTCGCTGCTCTCCCCTCTCTCTCTCTCTCTCTCTCTCTCTCTCTCTCTCTCGCTCACACACACCTGTTTTATCTCTTATTATTCATACTCATAATTTTCCGAGCGTAAGGATTCTGGCTCATTTTAGATTCTTCGTGGTTCTCAGAGTGCATGCTGGGTATTTTCTCGAGGGAACTGAATGACACATCTTTTCACCTTCAGTTAAACTCAAAAGAAGAGTGTGTGGGGAGCCAGACCGCTGCACTCTAGGGCATTTCGTGCAATGACACACATAATGTTAGAGAGGATTAACAGAGAACATCTTGCCCTGCACATTTTTCATTTTAAAGACTTTATATTATATTTTTAGATTTTTTATATTATATTTTAACTTATATATTATATATTTTATATATATTAAAATATATAATATATATAAAATATCTAAAATATATTTTAACATTTATTATAAGTTAATATTTAAAAACACAAATGATTTAGCATTGTTAAATGTAATCTTATAATCTTAAAATGAATGTCCATTTTTCATACTATAAATTATAATGTTGATGATGCCTAAAGTCTCTTGTAGCATTTAAAACATTGATTTGATTTTAGTTTTAATTGATTTAGTTTTATTTATACAAATTTTATATGTTAATATTTATTTTAATTAGTGCTGTCAAATCGATTAATCGCATCTAACATAAAGGTTTGTAAATATATATTTGTGTGTGTGTCAGTAATTTATCAGTCATCATCGGCCATGACATAAGAGTTTAATCGTCAAGATAAATATGTTTAACTTTATCTTGCTGAAAGATTATATACAAATGTGATCTTAAAATGTGAATGGCTTATTTCTATTTGACTCTGCTTGGTAAATTGGGATAAAGCAGAGCATTTTGACATTTTTGTTTAAAATTAAATTTTGCTGCAATTAAAAAAAAAGAACAGCAATTTTTATCTGACATGCACACACACGTACCATCTTGTTCTGCAAACACAGTATTCTGGGGTTTTTGGAGCTAGTGCAGGTTTGTTAGCTAACTTTCTCCTTTTGCCTGCCTTTAGCAGACTGGAATACTTTTACATTTCAGTTACCTGAGCATGAAATTACTACTTCACACCTTGTACGGTCTAGACACACACACAAAATTCACACTTCAATACTCAACAACCTTTATTGCGGTCCTATTAGCATTTATATTGCTCTCACAGCAGGGAGAGCTGACACAGATATCATTTTGTTGATTAGGCCTGCAACACTAACTATAACTTACCTTGAGTGATATTGAGTTCACAAAGTGGTGCAGGTGCTTCTGAGACCTACTGACTACAGAGATGGAAACTGAAGAGTTGCTCTAATACTTTATAAAACTTTTGCACAAGTAAAAGCCTGACGAAATACTACCGAACTGAACGGTTATGCGTGTTTGATCTAGTTTCTGTGTGTTTATTTATATGAAACACTCTCTTTGTCTCTCCTCAGTTGTCGGGCTGTGGGTTGTTAGGCGTCGGCATCTGGCTGTCTGTTTCTCAGGGCAGTTTTGCCACATTCTCCCCCTCTTTCCCCTCCCTCTCAGCCGCCAATCTGGTCATTACATTGGGTTCCGTCGTCATGGTAACGGGCTTCCTGGGTTGCCTCGGTGCCATCAAGGAGAACAAGTGCCTGTTGCTAAGTGTAAGTCGACACCTACATCTCCCACAATGCACACTGTATAATGAACTAATTTTTAACCCAGGATTGTTTTAACCATGGGTTAGTGTAATCCTGGGTTGTCAGGTTTTGAGATTTCACAATTGCAAAACCTGTCTTAATTATGCATGTTATGTCCTCTACAAAGCACATACAAATTTGATTCTGTAGTTTAGGGATTCACAAAAACTTTTTTTGTCAGCCAAGACCTAAAATATTTACTTGAGTACCATCTGAGATTAATATTTCAGTAATGTAACAAAAAATTTATATTGTTCATGGTTCTTTGCTGCCGGTTAATGGTCACATGACATGCATGTAAACAAATAAAATATATTTTTTTTTTAGTAAGCATTTTACTTTGAATGTTTTTATTTGAAAATTATTATTTAAATTATTTAAAATTTGACATTTTTATGATTTTAATTAATTATAAGCTTTTCATTAACTATAAGCATATAGGCCTTAAAGTTTCTCAAACATGCAAAACAGCTCAAACATGCATTTTAGTCTTAGACTAAGCGTAAGCTTTGTCTGTGAATCCGGGCAATAGTGTTAAACATTAAAACAAGATATTTACAGACCTTTGAGTATGTCTATATAGTAAAGCATTTTTACTTGTTGTCCAGAAAACTACTATGGACCAATGTGTACCTCATGTAAATGATTCACAATACGGCGTGCAGCATCAGGGGTCTTTGTAGCGCTGCGTTGATGGAGAGTGTGGGAGTGGAGAGAAAGCTGCGCTGATGAGATGCTGCGAGTGAGGAACAAAAGCATGCCTATCTCCATTCCCACGTTCAAACTGCTACCATTGTTATGAATGGTGCAAAAACATGTCAAATTCCACTCGCTTCTAGTTTCTGTCAGCCTTTGGGTGACACTTGTTGAGTATTATGGCTTGAAGCCTCCGCTAAGAAAAAAAAATATATATACATGGCCACGCTTTAGTTTAGGGTCAATTCTCACTATTAACTAACTATTAACTATGACTTTTGCCTCAATTAACTCCTAATTACTGTTTATTAATAGTTAGTAAGAGGTTGTTAAGTTTAGGTATTGGGTAGGATTAAGGGATGTAAAATATGATCATGCAGAATAAGGTTTTATAAGTACTAGCAAACAGCCAATATAATAGTCAAATGCATGCTAATAAGCAAGTAGTTAATTGACAACTCAATGGCACAATTGACCACTCGCAATCAAATATTCCACAGTATAAATATGTACTGTATGTCTTATGTAAAGCACTTTGTTGTGTATAGTTTACTTACTTTTACTCTCTTTTGACTTGTAGTTCTTCATTGTTCTGTTAATCATTCTTCTGGCAGAGCTGATTTTGCTCATCCTTTTCTTCGTGTACACAGAAAAGGTACAGTACGAACACCAAGCATTACACACCCTCTCAATCTGTCTATTTCACACACACAATCACAGAACTTACCACCCACCGTGCCCAGACTCTCATTACCCACACCAATCCTGACAACACCAACAGCCCACACACCTTATATTTACTCTCAGTAATCTTAAAGTTTTCTTCATTTCCAAACATCTGCTCTGTAACTCGTGAAGAAAATGTGATTTAAACTCTTCTGCAGGTGAGTGAGAATGCTAAACAGGACCTTAAAGACGGCCTGCGCCTCTACAACACGGACAATAACGTCGGCCTCCGCAACGCCTGGAACATTATCCAAGCTGAGGTGTGTGTGCATGAGTGCAGGTGTGATATACTGTCGTCAGTGACAGTAATGGTGGGTCACTGAGAGTTCAGGTAGTTGATTGGGCCGTCTATCCACAGCTGCTCTCCACAGAATTGTGGAAGATAACTCATGAAGTCTCTCTAGTATTGAACAATATGCAGACGTCTGCAAAAATTTTGTTTTTGAAGTGTGGGAATGATGCATCTGAATATGTACTCTTTCTCTCAGTGGGAGTGCTGTGGTGTAACTGGGCACACAGACTGGCATGATGCCCTGCAGGAGAAAACAGTGCCAGACAGATGCTGCCAGGAGCACTACAGAGAGTGCGGTCGCAACGCCACTAACATCTTCTGGTCACAGGTACGATTGTTTTATTTTATTTTATTCTTTAGTTTTATTTTACTTCGTTTTATTTTATTACTGGAACCTTATTTTAATGCCTTTTTTTTAAATTCATCCTTTATACTATGTTTTTATTTTATTCTATTTTATTACTGGAACCTTATTTTAATGCCTTTATATTAATTAATCATTTATTCTATTTATTTTATTTTATTACTAAAAACTTATTTTAATGCCCTTATATTAATTCATCCTTTTTATTTTTTATATTTTATTTTATCTCTTATTTAAACCTCAATAGCAAAAAGTAATTTCAACCAATCAAAATGATTGTTTCAGTGAATCGATTCAAAACATTCATTCATTTGTACTTTCATTACACTGTTTTAGTATCGATTTATGTCTGTAAATATTGCAGTTTATTGGGGCACATGCAGTTTATCGAGCATATTAAATGAGTAATAATCAATTTAACAATGATTCATTTAATTAGGAAATTTTGGGATTATTTTTAACTAGATTTTACTGTATTGTACAACAACAACAAAAAAGTAATTAATACAAAAATATTTTGTTAAACTAAAATGTTTTTTATTCAGTTGTAGAAATGAATCAAACGAATCTCCTTTTTTAGCTAGTGCTAGTAGTTTACAAGTTATTTAGATGAAATTTCCCTTGACTAGTCACTCTAAATGAGGTCATCATAAATTCTGTGATCGTCCAGATTAATAATGTAACTGAGTTATATATTTTATTCCCCCTTTGAACAGCTTTAATGTAGTTAGCTACTCTTTCTTACTAGCTTGTACCATAGCTGACTGCTTAAAAAGTAGTACTTTTAAATTATGAATATCATGCACATTGTAAAAAGTTTCAACATTTTCAAACAGTTTTAAAGCCGCCCCAACCTGACTCATAATCTTATTGCACTTTGCAACGCACCTCTTCTTTCTTACCTTTAGGGCTGCTACGAGAAGGTTGAGGAATGGCTGAACGACAACAAACATTTGCTTGGAACCATCGCGATGTGTGTGCTGGTCTTACAGGTACAAGCATTACGATTACACTCATCCTGGCATAGTTTTGCCTCTAATGTTGTCACATCCTTTTTGATGCACACCCATGCTGATGTCATTTCCTCTATTTTGCAGCTGCTCGGGATGGCCTTCTCCATGACCTTATACCAGCAGATTCACAGGGCGGGAAAGAAGTATGATGCCTAGAGAAAGCCCAGTGTTACACGACAAAAAACACTTTGAACACCTTATGTATTATTTCAAAGCCCCGTTTCATGCCATCACAAACTATTACCATTGAAAATGAAGCTTTTTTCGGACTCTATCAGATTTAATTATGTAAAACAGGCTGTAGATATTTTTGCTCAGCTGCTGAGTGGCTTTTTTTTTTTTTGGCCTGAGGTCTAACTGCAACTGTAAGATGAAAACTATACTAGTGAAGGGAATAGATTGTGAGAAGCAATTATGGATGTTTGCAACCGTTAAGCAGGTCTTGGAAATAGGCCATTATGAACTGTACAAAAATGCCCAAGTCATGTAAGATTGGACTTTGGAGATCGCAATGCACATAAAAGGATACGTTCACTATTTCTCTCTTGGACTGTTGCGTACACGTAGATGCAATTTCCTTTGTTGATGTAATATATCAATCGCATGCTGTATATATTTTACATTGACATAAGCGTACTGTACAATTGCACACAAACAATCCTTTATCTGATGACTTAAGTGTTAGGGAGAGTGGGGTAAGATGCGTCAATTCCTTAATCTACCAAAAACTGTGCACAATTTTTGTAATATTATTAGATAATCAGAAAGGCTCTAAATGTATGTTTTTAGCATGTTAAAGTAAAATGCGTGGCAAGTAAATTAATTTATGTAAAGTACATTTTATTCCGAATATTTCTCAATTTTGATATACAGTATATAGTTACATAAATTATTTGACTAAATTTGGGCTTTACATATTCTGGATATTTTCAAGATATTTCTATCATTTGAAAAGTGTCACAGCTTACCTAACTCTTTCCTACTTTCAGTTAATACGAAATATGAAATTGTTTATTTGTATGAGAGAGAGAGTCTAGGCTAGTCATCTGCTCGCTCTGGGGCTTTGTGTCCTGGTGACTCTCTTCTCGTCCTTGTCTACTCTCTTTGTTTTCTCGCTCACTGATCTTTTCAAAGTGCATCTGTACTGCCAGGAGGCAAACGAGCTATCCTACTCCGCCTACCGTCAGGGAAGAGAGGGAGATGAGATCAAAGGATGCAGGATATAGAGGTTAGGAAATAGAGAAAGACCTAATAACGGCCTCTCCTGAAAACAAACAGCATCATGCAATGACACCTGAAAGAGTGCAATGAGAGTTAACCTATAAGCCATAACCTCGGCGAGCTGTTTCTGTCATTTTCCTAAAATACGTTCCTACTCGTAATCAGTTTTTGAGGTCTAAAGGTATATTTTAATCCACAGATTAAATAGCTGCATCATTACAAAGTATTGAATTATCTGGATAATTTATTACCATGTGATATATCTGCATTACTGTTTAACCAACATATTATTTTAAATAAAAAGAAAAATGTTTTAAATAAACTGTTCTTGTCTGACATAAATATATTACAAAATATCTGCCTCCAAAAACTAGGAAAAATATTATTCATGTTTTATGAATTATTCATATTCCAGCATACATTACAGTTAAGCACTAGCAAAGCTGAATAATAATGATGTAATGTAAATACATTGTGCAAACATGTTAAATCAATGAATGTCAGTGGCCAGTTTGATGTTTTGTTTTTATGCCTTTATGCTAATTTTATAGAGTGCAAACTGTATTTGTCTATTGGTTGTCTAGTAACTCTCACACCATGGGATGTCCAGATAATTGATCTCTTTCTCAAACTTAAGGTTTTTCAATTAGGTAAACAAGGAATGAGCTACTGTAGGTGAGTCACATCCTGTTTTTCTATGATAAATATCCTTGCTGGTGCGTAGACCGTGGACCTTTATTTATTTATTTGAAGGATCTTCTGGTGAAATGGTTCAGGTAGCTTGTAGTCTGGAGTGCGTTTCTGTACACTTTAACACACTTGCTTCACGTTTAAAGCGCTCTTAAATTTTATTAAAGCATAAACGGAATTAGGGAGTAAAACAAAACATATATTATAACAACTTTATACAGCTCAAAATACACAACAATACAAAATACAAAGTAGAAAACTGTATTGTCTCTTGTTCTCCCCAGAAGAGAGATGTGGAGAGAGGATGGACCTCTCTGCAATACATGAAGGAAGGGCCTTTGTTGTCTCTTTTAGATCTGCTGTGTGATGTTTGGCATTGAGATGAAACTAAAGCTGCTGTTTGGTGATTAGTCTCTGTCTCCATCTGTTGGCCAAACACTGGATATAGTTGTGTGAATGTTAGTGTGTGAAATATATAACTTAAAAGATATTCTCTCAAACATACTCTTATTCGCATACATGCAAACATATGGTTTCATCATTGGTTTCAATTGTTCACACACACACACACACGATTCAAATGTGTCTCTGATGCCCCCGTGCTTGGATGGATGTGTGTGGTATATTGTTATGTGTTTCAGAGAACAATGCCTTGTGGTATCTTTGCTTTTGACATGTCCTAGCAGTATATATAAATATATATGTGACGCAGTTACTTTATAGGGTTAAGTTTAATTTTAGAGAGAGAGAGATTTCCTGCTTTTTGTCTCACAAAACATTGTATTGAGTCTCTACAGAGATAGTTCTAGGACTTTTGACGGGGGATGGCTGTAAATATTGAGAAACTGAAAAAGGAGTGTCAAAACACTGAAAACTCCATGAGTATTTGTCTCTTTTTCTCCATCAGCAGTGGTCCTCTTTTTCTCCAGTTATCCCCAAACCCATCTCTCTGACTGAGAAGACTTCAGCTGTACTGACTCGCTGTTGTCTCCATCTGCCTGCAGCCAAACAAAGGTAAATAAAACAATGAAATGACAACACAAACAACACAAAAGCTCTGTGTGGTATGCTGTCAATTACCACAGAAAGCTTGTACCATCTCTCAGTTTATTACAGAAGCTCCAAGATGCCATGAATTATTTTTGATGTCTTATTTTGTCAACTTAATTTTCTTATAATCTCAATTTCAACAAAAGTTGTTTTCTTGAGGTCTTGTTTCCTTTTCTGCTACATACCCAAAACAGCCCCCCAAAAAAGTCACTGTTTGGATTTAAATAGGCAAATGCTTAAGAGTTTATGACTGGACCATTATTACTGTGATGATTGTGTTTCTAGCATGTTATATGTGTATTATATTATTATACCCTAATTGATGGAGCATGTAGCTTTTCATTTCTTCAATAACTATGTAGGAAGACACATTATGGCCATATTCCAGAATCACAAAGTCAAGATTCATCTGGCTCAAATTTAAAGCTGCAGTCCGTAGCTTTTTTGGGTTAAAAATTATCCAAAATATTTTTTGGAGCAAAATACATAACCAGCCAGTGTTCAAAACTATCTGCTTGCCTTAGCTCGATTCAAAGCGGTAAGCTTGTAATAATGTTTTTAATTCCAGTGGTACTGGTGGATTTCCGTGGGAGATTCGAGCATGTCTTTGCGTCATTACGTCACATCTGTACACATAGGATGAGTCTCGGCTAGTATAAGCTATATTGCATGTGAGGATGCTGGAGGTGGAGATTTATAGACTTTTCTCACAGCACTTGATATAATTAAACTTATCAATTTGATGGTGGATCCAGAAAGGTTCAAACGACAATCACCAGTGACAACTGGAGATTCACCCGTTGTAAAATGCAAAAGACTTCGGAGTGGCTACAGAAAAAAAGACACTGCAACCGGCCCATGCGAAAACAAGGATAAATATCGGAAGGGCATTAAATGTAGTCACGCAATGCTGATGTTGAACACTAACAGTTTGAGAACAAAGTATAATTTGCACGGTTTTACGTGATATGATAAGCGATTGTTAGATTTAATCAGCGCGATTTACTGCAATGATTTTTTCCCCTTAGTTGGTTAGAACCAGTACAAAAGTGGATGTCACTTACATGTTCAGATGAAATTTTCCGGTGAAAATTATTATGTTGGTCATACTTCCAAAAAGAATAATCTGTGATTCTGAATGCCAGTATCCACACCGGCGCGGCGACTGACAGCCGCACACCGTCCTCAAACATTGGATTCATCCGCGCTGTGCCGTGTCGCGGCACAACTCACGTAAAGTACATAATTCTCAGAATAACTGCAATTGCAGATTTTGAACAGAGATGGCGATAAAGAGGAAAAACTGAAGACTGCAGCTTTAAATCCAAACAGTGACTTTTTTTTTTGGCCAGGCAGTGTATATACTGCTGCCTCATGAGTGAGCGAATTGGTGTGGTTTTTTTTATATTTCTAAAAAAATACTTCTTGTTTTTATTATATAATATGACTGTAGGTGGTAAAATTTTGTTGCGCTTCCAGTAATATGTTAATAATATCAGCTACCATATAATACCCATTCATTCAAGTACATTTGTTTACTTGTTTGTTTACAATTTCTATGCATTACTCTACAAAAGTTTAAGATCAGTAAAAAAAAGTTATACTTTTATTCAGCAAGGATGCATTAAACTGATCAAAAGTGTCAAATAAATATCATGGTTTCCACAAAAATATTGAGGAGCACAACTGTTTTCAACATTGATCATTTTAAGAAAAGTGTCTTATGCACCAAAACAGCATATTAAGCATTCATAACATATATTAAAATAGAAAACAGTTATTTTAAATTATATTTCACAATATTACTGACTTTACTGTATTTTTCATCAAACAAATGCAACCTGGCTGAGCAGAAGAGACTTCTTACCGACCCCAAACTTTTAAATGGTAGTGTAAAATATATATGTTTTTAAATCACAGAAATTAAATTTGACAAGTAACTGACCTTGCTCGCGATAGCTTTCAGTTTACCCAGTAACGAAGGAGTATTTGAGTAAACGACATCGTCATCATTCTCCTCCCCCTCCCCCTCTGCTAGTGCACAACTGTCCGCTGCTGGCAGCTCACAGTCCTTATTGGCTGACATCACTAGTCTGGAGTATTTATATTCAAGCCTATTCAAAAAAGAAAAAGATATACAAAATTAAAAAGCACTTTTTATATCTGAAGCTAAGTTTCCATTGACAGCTTGTTTACCTCTTGTTCTTTTTCCAGAAATAGCATGTGAGAGAAACCAAGAGTGCGGCCATGAAGGCTCCGCCCCCAATTCCGGCCTTCAGCCATTGGCCGACCACCTCACAGTGGGCAGAGGTCTTGTTCAGGAGCGGAACTCCTTTAGTGCAGAGTTTTGGCTCGTTCCACACATAGAGAGTGTCCTGTTATGAGATAGACGAATGAAAGATCATAAAAGACGTCAAATAAATTGTACTAGATACATTTGTGGTACAGTTAGAGATGTACCTGCACTCCTCCTTTGCACGCTCCTTCTATTGAGTGATAGTCAGCTTCAGTGCAGAGAGGACAAGCACTAGAGCTCTCCCAGAGGAAATGAAACTCACAGCCATTACATGTACCTGCTGGGCACTTGCTAAACACACACAAACACACAATCAAGAAATGTCACACAAGCAAGAGTGCTGTTGCTTCCGATCAAACTCTTTTTATATAATTAAACATTTAAACGAAAGAATATTTTAGACACAATATCGGGAGTTACTTTGTATATTTTTTGCTCTGCTAACAAAAATAGTTCCAAACTAAGCCAAAGTACTAGAATTGACGATTACGCGTCTCCAAAGACACACAAAGTAGTGGTGAGGCACTGCTGATTGAATCAGTGTTCTTGAATGAATCTATTAAGTGAATGATTTCACTCATAAAAATAGTCACTTGTAACCACTTATATATAAACTTGCAATTTATATACGAGTTATAAAGTCTGAGGGAAAAATTGTGAGGTTTCATTTCAGTTCTCGCAATTGCAAGTTTATATCTCTTATATCTTAAATTCTGACTTTATAACTCGCAATTCTGACTTTATAACTCGCAATTGCGAGTTATAAAGTCAAAAGTCACAATTATCTTTTAAATAGTTGTATTCCGTGGCAGAAACAAGCTTCCATTAAAAACTTTGTGATTAATGTGTCTTTTCTTTAAGCAAAGAAAATGTTTGTAAATGTAATTAATCGGTCTGGCAATTTTATATTCATTGCATATTTGCAACTGGCTTGCAAGCCTTCACTGGTATTCGTATTAGCGTAGATATTAATAACTGAATTTCACTCATGGGTGATATTTCATTTGTTGAGCTTTGATGATAATTCACCCTACAAATAATGTAACTGACTTTTGTTACACGTCCTGTTTGGGTTTTATTTAAAAATAGATTATCCATTTAAAAAAAAAAACGTTTTTCTCAATTTACTGAGCTACTCTGCTATGCACATTTTAATGGAACATTAAATGGAAAAGAGTTATGTCAAACTGAATAAATGCACCTTGGCACAGTGAGCTCCCCGCGTGTGCTCTTTTCAGGACTGCAACGCAGAGTCACGACTGTGCTACGGCCGTTCAGACAGGATGCTGTGGGCTGTGGAGAGCTGAGAAAAAAACATTCATGTTATTAATGTAATATCATTGCACACATCAACTAAGAATTTTTAACAATCTAATATAATCTTTCTTCATTTACCGATAGAAGAAGTTGATATCTGGAACTTTCCGTGAAGACTCAGAGAAGAGGTCTGTGCTGGCAGTGACCCCATCCAGACTGTTATCAACAGAAGCTCCTGAGAAATGGAAGCATGAAGAAAATGAGACACATGTAAGCAATTCAAACACCTCTATTCTGAAGGGAACTAAACACAAAAGTGCAGTGAAAAACACCCTTTATTGTAGATCAGGGGTTCTCGACTCTGGCCCTCAAGGTCTGCCGAGATTTGCTCTAACCCAACTCAACAAGCTAATCAAGGTATTATTTTTTTACTTGGGCTGTGTCTAAAATTGCCCCCTATACCCTCATTTACCATTCCCTACATTAGTCCACTAATATAGTTCACTTGAGGGAGTGAATGACAACGAGTGAGCGAATTCAGACACTAAGTGTGCCAGAAAGGCTGCCGCTTTTGCGTAGTTTGTAGATTGGTTGTACACTCGTTGTTGCAGTGCATTATGGGATTAAATGAGTGCGCTCGATAAGGTCCACTATTGTTTCGAGCACCATTATAAAAGTCTGTCCCCTCACATAGTGCCCTATTTAGGGGGTGATTTCGGACACAGCCTAGGAAGTTATAGGCAGGAGAGTTTGATCAAGATTGGAGCTAAATTCTGGAAAGTGGATCTTGAGGACCCCTGAGAACCCCTGTTGTAGATTATTGCAGGTTAAGGGTTTCGCTGTGACAAAGGCATTGACACAGGCTTGACACTGATCCCTGAGCAGACTTGCTTAGTGAAGGAGATAACAGACTGACATCAAATTACATTCAAGTAATTTAACGTACACTCCCATTTAAAAGTTTGGAGTCAGCAAGGATGCATTAAATTGATCAAAAGTGACAGTAAAGTCATTTATAATGCTACTAAAGATTTCAAATAAATTCTGTTCTTTTGAACTCTCTATTCATCAAAGAATCTTTTTTTTTAATCATGGTTTCTACAGAGCAGTGGGAGTAGTTCAGAGTAGCAGAGCAGAGTTTCTTGATTGAATGATTTCTGGAGGATCATGTGACACTGAAGACTGGAGTAATCATGCTGAAAATTCAGCTTTGCAATTACAGGAATAAATTATATTTTAAAATATATTAAAATAGAAAACAGAGATTCCATATTTTAATAATATTTAAAAATCTTAATCAAATAAATGTAGCTTTGGTGAGCATTAGAGACTTGTTTCAAAAACATCTCACCGTCCCCAAGCTTCTGAATGGTACTGTTTGTTAAATAACATTAAATAAGGTTACAGACCACATAATCTCACCAAGGAAAGTGTCAGCCAGGCTGATGGACTGAGACGACAGGGCTGTTCTGAAGCCCCGCCCATCTGCAGGAATGATGGTAGATTGGCACACAAAAGTCTCAACGAAATTGTTGAGGTCAGCGGATTCATTTTGCACGTCCTTACTAGACAGATCTGTGACATTGTCAGTGCATACCGCCACCTTCTTCCCCTGCGACAGAGAGTAAAAAGTGCAAGCTGACTATAGATCCTCTTAAGAAGTAAAAAAAAAAGCAATTGTTCCTGTTTCTATTTTCTATTAAAGCAATCTATTATTAGCTAGACTGAAGTCAGTTAAAAATAGAGATGTTTGTATGTGAGAGTACCTCAGCCCCACATAGACTGATGTTAAACTGGTGGTAGTATTTGGTTCCCTTGGAGGTGAAACTAGGCCCGTTCATGATTGACCCCACTGAATTTAAGGCACTCAAGTCGTAGGTCAAGGTTCGGTTCTGATCCATGTGCGAGAAGGTGCAGTCGTTGAAACACACAGAGTGTTCCTGGACACAAACACACACACAAAAAAACACATTTTGGATGTTATATATAGTTATATAGTCATGCATTTCTTCTGATTTTACTCTTACCTTGTTGCTCTTGCTACCAGGACCGCAGGGCTGACAAGCCTCGAGCCCATAGATGTGATGCCCGGAGAGGAAGGTGTTGGACGGGCACTCCTGGCACTGGTTAGTGTCTTTGTTGATGAAGTGTCCGGCAGGACAGGGGACACAAGAAGAGCCGTCCTGCTGACTCATCATTGCACAGGCGTGGCAACCCGACGCTGAGCCATCCATCGCATTTGTCACCGTGATTGAGTAGATCTTTGCGATGTCATTTACATAGTGACGCATCTGGGAGAGACAGACAGCGAATGAGAACGTTTTCCATGCAACAAAAAGGTACTTTAGACTCATTTCCGGTGAACACTTACATCAATGGCTTTGTTGGTACGTTGGAAAGCCCATGTGTAAGACACAGAAGCATTTTTGGTCATAATGTGGGTGTATGCTTGTCTGAGTTTACTCCCTACCCATGATTCCACAACATTTGTGCTCTTCCTGTTTACATCCTACAGAGAAGACATTGATTCATTAAAGAACTTCATGTATCATAATGATTGGGCCACCTGCTGAATTAAATATGGAACATTGTGAGGTAGCATACTACATTTTTTATTTATCTATGCATACTGCATAATGTTTTTCACATGCTATTTATGTTATTGTTTTGTCTTACTATCATGAAATAGAGTTCACAGTCTGCGCTGCAGTTGGTCTCAAAGATAAATGTGATTCGGCCAAACTCAGTAGCTGAAGCATCGTCCACAGAAGTAGGAAGTCTGAGAGAGATAAAAGGTGAACATCTGTAAATGTTAGGTGCACCGCCAGAATTTTTACACTAGAATTGTAGATTTGACTCACTTGAATCCAGGCACTCGTAAATTTAAGATGAGGTAATCGTTATCTGAGCCACCCACTCCACTACGAATATGGTCGCCAGCCACCTCCCAACCTACAGAAGCAAATATGATATACATAATATGCTCTCTCTGTCTCTCTCTCTCTCTCTCTCTCTCTCTCTCTCTCTCTCTCTCTCTCTCTCTCTCTCTATATATATATATATATATATATATATATATATATATATATATATATATACAAATTTGTATTACACTTACCATTCATTTCATCACATTTAGAGTTGCCCACATTAAAACAAGATGTTTTCATATTCCTCGGAAGGATGTTCCACCACTTGTATTCATATCCTAAAGAAGGTTCAGTTCCTCCCGGGCATCTTTGACATTCTGTGCCAAATTAAATCTCCGTTACAGTACCAGTATACCAAAAGTGTAACTTAATAATACACACAAGTATGTATCTATGTTTATGTGTGTGTCTATATACCTGCGGTACCATCCGAATAAGTCCCTTTTGGGCAAGGTAAACAGGTAGAAGAGTTGTGCATGTAGAAGCCTGGATTACAGGGTGGACAGTCCTCTTTCTCTGCAGAAGGTGGCAGTGTCACCGCACCGGTCACATTCTCCACACACACCTGAGGCTCCACCCACCTGTACAGTATCTGGGTCTAAAATGATACCGTAATATTAACAATTAACAAATGATCCACACAACATTTACAACAAAACACATTCTGCATTAAATCCTACCTTGCCTTCACCATCACAGGCCGTGTGGATCTGAAAATAATCTTTCTCTGAACAAGGAGGCCTCTCTTTACACCGCGACCATCCCTCCTCTAGAACATGCACACATGTAGAAAAACATCACACACAAACGTGCGCTGAGAAAGGTGTGTTTAAGTTACTGGATTGTATTTGATTCATGCTAAAATGAACTGTTAACAGTAAGCCATATGTACAGTAGTTCGTTTGGCACAACAAAGAATGTAAGAAATCATCTGCATTCGTACGGGAATACTGTGTCTCGGAGCAATGTGTACACGAACTGGCTCCCTTTCCAGAGTAAGTATTCCTGAGACAAAGGTCACATGAGGAAGAGCCTGGAGTTTTACTGAAGGTGCCCGGCCTGCACGGAAAACACTCTGACGTGTACGCCACACCTGCTCACAAAACATGTAAAAGTATAATTGATTTGCCATTAAGAAGGGTATGAGTCACACAATTTGACATTATATTGGTAGAATCTCACACCTTCGATCTGGATGCTCTTTAAAAGGACCGGCTTCACTGGTTTGCCACCCAAGAGCATTCCCGTGGTTCTCCAATACAGAATATTCGTTCCCGTCTTCAGATTTACCTGTGACATACAAAAGCTACATTAGATGTCAATTTACTTCCAAATTATTCAATATTAATATAATATGCAAGATTCCTAACCGTATGTGTTCCCCATTCTCCGCTGGTGGTGAGTTTGATCCATTTCTCACTCCCTGTCTGGTCCATCTCCTGACATTGGTCATTCTGAATCTGTACCAAAGGTTTTTTTTTTTTGGAGTTATATTTTCGCTTATAACGCATTTGTAGAATAAACTGCAAGATGTATAAAGTAAAACACACAAAGAACTCGAAGAAGACGTTGCTGTCGACATATTGATAGTCAAAGGAGACGGATCCCTGCTTCATGAGATGCACCGCGTACACCAGCGACACTGTGCAGTCGTCACGATTGGATTCCAAGTGAGTTCCCTGAGCTGTCCATGAAGAACTGCAATTGAATAACACAGTGTAAACAGGTAGATCCAAGCCTAGAAAAGAATATACTGATATATAAACAGAATATATATTTCAGATTGGCCTGCAACTTGGCACTGACTTGTTGCAGGTCATTGAGTCGTCTCCTGAACCTCCTGAGTCCATGTATGTGGCCAGACTGCTGAATCCTGCAGGGATGGAATCCCACTGGTCGAAACGCACACCACTGCCCAGCGAATAAGAGCCAGCCGCACATGATGTGCACTGCTGGGAGGACATCTCCAAAAACTCCCCAGCTTCACAAGAAAAAGCTGTGCAAACAAATAAGAACAGACTGTGTTTGCATACTGACGCAATACACTCTTCAAAATAAAGGTTCTTTATTGGCATCGATGGTTCCATGTTCAACTTTTAACATTCATGGAACCTTTCCATAATTGTACGAATGATGATTAAAATGCCCTTCACACTAAGAAAACGGTTCAATTAAAGGTTCTTTGAGGAACCAAAAATGGTTCTTCAATGGCAATGCTGTGAAATCCTCCTTTTAAAACCTTTATTTTTAATAGTGTACACATGCCATGAATGTTATTGTTATTGGGGGCAGTCGTGGCCTAATGGATTAGAGAGTCAGACTGGTAAGCCGAGGTTGCGGGTTCGATTCTCAATGCCGGCAGGAAACGACTGAGGTGCCCCACTGCTCTGTGTGTGTGTGTGTGTGTTCACTAATCACTGCTCCTAATGTGTGTGCACTAACTTGGATGGGTTAAACGCAGAGGACATATTCCGAGTGTGTGTTGCCATACTTGGCCTGGCCGTCACTTCACTTGACAAGTACTTTTGATAACTAACTAAATATAAAACCAAGGAAATGCTCCCAGAGCTTTTCTCAAAACTAACTTCAGCGTTTTTTTATGATCTAGTTTTGCAATTACTTTTAAAAACCTGGGATTTTATGTATGCATGAAGTAAAAAATATTAAAGTATAAAATAATAATTATGAACATGAAATACTTCAAATACTTAAATTACTATAATTGATCCAAATACTTTTTTATCTTAATTTTGAGCATGCATAGTGTGGTTTGACTTTAAATTAAAAGCCACTTGGTTTGATATGTCAAGTAATGTAGTGCATTTTCATTAAGCGTGTCTATATTTGGTTGTTTTCTTACTGCAGTCTGTGCCTCTGACTGGCTCTGGCAGGCCCGTGCAGCTCCCCTGTCTGTGAGGAATGGCAACTCTCCATCTGGAGCCTGTGCTGTCACACTCTGTGTACTCAAAGTAGTAATCTGTCTGAAACACACACAGATATCGACATATTCAGACATACTACATCAAACACACGTTACGGTCATTAAACGGGACTAATTCTGGGGGGGTTTTTGGGGCAAAGAAAAGATTAATATTTATATAAAGATTAATTAAGGGGTTTTTTTTTGTAATGTTTGTTACGACTACTCAACATATGTCTGAAACATATACACATTGACCTATTCAGACATTTACAGCAGTGAATTGTTTTTGCACATTTTGTAATAGTGTTTGATTTAGTGGCAAAGCACAATGATTATTTTATTTGAGCCAATGGCACAATTTATCCCTTTACTGCACAACTATCATTCTGTATAAAACAAAACAAAATAAAACATTTAATTAAAACAAAATAAAGTAATTAAAATAAAATATATATATAAGGGTAATCTTTAGCAAAATAATTGGCATGGTTGTACATTCAGCAGCAAGAAATATATATAATCCTGGATACATGTACCTTTCATATAAAAAATGCTCATCTTTTTTCTCATGTGCTCTAATCAAAAACACAGGCAGCTTTACAGAATGTGGCCTTTCTAAACATATGGTCACGTGACAAAATTTCTGACATTTTTCAGATTAAGCAGGTGACACATCTTACCCCACTCAGCCCTATCTGATCTTTTCCTGTTTCCAAAACACTCAAACTCCCAGGCACATATAACAGATAGCCAGATATTGTGTGTGTGTGTGTGTGTGTGTGTGTGTGTACGATGGGAGGGGGGATTGGTACAATCTGTCTGTCTGCCTTCTGTCCCCGGACAGTCACCAGGGCAACAGCCAGGAGCCCTGCAATTGTTGTCATGACGATCACTCATTGCTATTGGTTGTGGATGGTAATGTATTAGAGTCTGATTTACACTGATAACAACCTGAAATAATGAGGCCACTAAATACCTCCTGTGTGTGCTGCGTCTTTGTTGACAGATGTGTTATGCAAATCAGTTTGTGTTCAATGCCCTGAAACACACACTGATTGTTCTCCTGTCCTTTAGGGGCCTACTACACACACAAAGCCACTGGATACACACACACAAAGGAAGAGCATATGCCATGCATTAAATTACATAACTTAGTATAGCACCAAATGCTGTATAATAGAGTGTAATGAAGTTGTTGGCTACACTGCCTTCAGTAAGGTGATAAATGCATCCCCATGGAGGTGCTTGTCATCTGGTAATGCTTGGTTACAGCACACACATTATCACTAATGATGCACCTGCACCTGCCACTATTGCCCCAACCAGCCTCCCTCACATATGCTCTTAAAGGAACAGTTCACCCCAAAATTAAGATTCTGTCATCATTACTCACCCCATGTTGTTCCGAACCCGTATTTTAGATATAAAGAACGTTTTCTATACATTAAAAGCAAATGGTAACTGAGGCTGTCATTCTGCCCAGAATTCATCCTTTTTTTCTTTGTGGGCAAACATGGATGAGGCAAATCAGTGTACTTGTACAAGAACAACAGCAGTCTTTTCAAATCAAATAGAGGGTGGAGATCCAGAGAGCTCATTCGCGTTGTATAAAAATGTTATAAGTTCGTATGAATCCATTTTACAAGCTCTAAAACAACTGCAGCGCATAACGCACAGTAATCGAGCTGTCATCTGATTGGTCAGCTGAGACCGCGTCATCATATTATAGGATCCTCGTCAGTCTCGGATCTAACCATTTTAATGTCAATAACAAGATGTTCTTTTTTCTTTTTCATCGCGTATAATGTTCAAAAATAACCGTTATGTTTGTGTATTAAAAATGAATGATACATAATAACAATAAGCATTTTAGAAGCTCACAGCAATATCATCCGTATAACATTTTAGAATGCATTTTAAATAGTTATATCATAAGCAGGAACAAGATTTGTATAGGTTGTGACTGGTTTAAAATGGTCGTGATATTTAAAATATTTTACAGAAAGGTGGCATGTTGTCGTTTACCTCTTTACACTGTGGCAGATTCACTGACGCTCGTGCGCAGAGGAAGAGGGTTACAAAGCGCACAAAATAACAGGGTGTCCAAAGCGCCCTCTTCTCCATCTCATAAAGGCAGGAATTACAGAAATACAAGGAATGCCAAGGATCTAAGTAAAGATAACGAGGTTTCGCGATGTCTATGCATAAACTACAGACTGAGATGCGAACACGCTGCTCTCTGTTCAACGATAAGCTCCTACTGTAGTTGCGCTTACGGGGCTTTGATTGACAGGGAGCGTCTGACGTCACGCTAGTCTAGTCTCCCTGTGTCAATTCACATCTTTTATTTAGGCCAAGTTAATCTTTTTGTAATACCTCAAGCATTAAGGATTCACAAATGACAATGTACCACTAAAAAAACCTAACTGTGTATTTATAATATAAATACAATAGCTTATAAAATGCCTGGCATATAGCATTGTTCAATGGTCTATGATGCTTTGTTAATGCATAAAAAGTTGAACACTCACACGATGCTCTTTTATTATTTACAGTGACCCTCAGTAAGACAGTCATGTTGGAAGGGCACCAGAGAGACAATGCATAATAAATAATTCAGTAATATTACACCATTACACAATCTCATTTATTTACTGACTGTCATGATCTAAACAAAACAAGTCAACCTCTCTCTCTCTCTCTCTCTCTCTCTCTCTCTCTCTCTCTCTCTCTCTCTCTCTCTCTCTCTCTCTCTCTCTATATATATATATATATATATATATATACACTACCGTTCAAAAGTTTGGGGTCGGTACGATTTTAAATACTTTTAAAAGAATTCTCTTCTGCTAACCATGGCTTGAAACAGTTGTTGAAACAGTTGTTGGTCTGTCAGTTGTACAGTTTTTTTTTTTTTTTTTGGATTCTTCGATGAATAGGAAGTTCAAAAGACTTTTGTAACATTATAAATGTTCAATCAAATCTCACTTTCGATCAAATTAATTATTCCTTGATAAATAAAAGTATTGATTTCTTTCCTCCAAAAAATAAAAATAAAATTCTCACTGACCCCAAACTTTTGAACAGTAGTGTATATATATATATATATATATATATATATATATATATATATATATATATATATACCGGTATATATATATATATATATATATATATATATATATATATATATATATATATATATATATTCTGTATGACTGTAAAACAGACCCTTCGTTCTTTATTTTATTTTTTTTGCAAGAATCTTGTAAGACTATCACCGGTGATCATAATAACTTTCACACTATAACAAAAGGAAAAGGAAAAGGAAAATCACACATTTTCATTTCAAAATTGTTGCAGCAAAAATATTTCGTTGTTGATTTGAAATCAAGTAAAGTATTGTATATCAAATTTCAGCTCATAAATGTTCTGACAGTGTTTTTCTAGATAAATAAACAAATGAATAAATCAATATTTGATTTGAACAAGCCCCATAATAAACAGCAGATGGCGCTGCTGATACAGCCACCAATCTGATATCGTTTCAATGCATCTGCTGTAATTCGAATACGTCTGTTTAACCTACATAGTAAAAACTTTAATTCTACAGACGAGTATTATGTAGATATAAGGTGACAAGTCACATAAACGTGCACTTTAGACAGACTCACACTCGAGCAAAAAGAATAAATAAATAAATAAACGGAAGTCACCACCGGGCTTCTGTAGATACTTCCGCTCTGAATGAGGAGAGGAAGAAAAAAAAGCGTATTTTCCTCCATCCTGGTATTTGCCTTCATCCTGGTCACTGCGAAGTCCCCGTACCCAAAACAGGAAGTAAGTACCAAAATCATAGCTAAATTTCACTTTCGCTCGCCCCTGTGCGCTGGACCTGTATTGTTTTATTCTTTACGTTAAAAAACAATGCTCCCACATCGATTAAATGTCGTCGCTGCTTCAAGGCGTCATGATACACATAAAAATGGCGTCTCATTATTCCTCATCTGCTTATTAAATGAGATGATAGGAAATTAACAACAAGGCAATACTCAGAATGGTGTATAATATTATTTAATGCTGATATTATTCACTTTGTCCACAAAAATGTCCTTAACATGGTCTCGAGTCGTGCATTTGTGTGTTTCATTCAAGTTTGCAGTGCACTGGCTTAAATGTCTTGTGGATCTATGGTGAAAATATATACAGTAGCAAACTGTCTGAATTAAAATGGCAACATTTTACATTAGTTTAATGAATATACAATTCAAATAAAGTGATTATGCTTACCTTTAGCATATTATAAGTGAGTCTGTGTGTGTGTGTGTGTGTGTGTGTGTGTGTGTGTGTGTGTGTGTGTGTGTGTGTGTGTGTTTGTTTGTTTGTGTCAATTAATTAACCTGTAGGCTGAGCATGAACACAGGGGATGTCCCGGCAACTGTGACCATTGAATCCATCAATTCTGTCACATTTACTCAGGACACTGATGGAAACATAATTCTGCACTGCCCTCAAAATGGTAAAACTAACCTGTGACCTCATTCTATTGTGCTTTACAAGACATTTTGTCTTGTATTGAAAGTATTTGTTTCTATAATATTCTTGCGTGTTTTGGACATGTAGATGTGGAAGACCTGGGTTCAGACGGGACCACTGAACCTGTTCACAAACGACTGCGGCTTTCCCATGAAGACGGAGAAGACCCTCAGGACTCTACCTCAACCGAGTACTCTGTTGTCACTCTGCCAAGTGAGTAGAAACACACATGGACATGTGTGTGTACACAGTTTATGCCAAATGATAATGCAAATATTGACTGGTTTTAAATCATTTTCCTGAAAATGTTCCTGTCAGCAATTACAAATTTTAATGTAATATTTATAAATGCATGTCTATGTGGTGATGCAGCCTGAATCATAATCACACCGTGTTCGTTCGTATAAAGCGTTCATTCTGTATTGTATAAAGCGCTATATAAATAAAGGTGACTTGATTTGACTATATCATGTCTAAATAACAAATAATGACATTTATTTACTGATAATATTTTAATATTTAACTTAAAAATTACACACACAAAATCATTTGGAGAAATTGCACCCATCACTTGCACTAAACTGTAAAGATGGATATTTTATGAACTGGTTTGTGCTGATTTCAGTTACAGAAGGTGATGAAAGCTTCGAGGTGACAATGACTGCTACAGAGATGAGAGATGGGGAGCTGGAATCAGATGATCCTTCTGAAACACCGGTAGGAACCCAAAATCATATGTTTATGAGTATCACCTTTCAGTGCTAGCTTTGCATGATTTAATATATATTATTTATTTATTTTAAATAATCAAGACAGATGTAAAACTTTGTCTGTCAACAGGATAATGATTCTCCTGGGCAAAAGAAAGGTGAAGATGTATCCGCTGTCAGTCAAGCCTGGTTCACCACGAAAGAGGATAAAGACACACTGGTTAACAAGGGTACGTTTGGCATATTCTGCATATATACAGATCTGTATTATCATACAAACTCAGCATTAGAAATATCGGACCTGATATCAATATGCGCAGTCATAGTATTTGTCATATACCCTCAGGTCACAAATGGAAGCAGGGTATGTGGTCAAAAGAGGAGATTGATCTCCTGATGAGCAATATAGAGCATTATCTAAAGGTGAGTATGGTTTATGAATGCATCACATTTGCTGGTGGTGCCATCTTTGATTTGCACCCTCACTCTTCATCCGTCTGTGCTTCCAAACTCAGAACCGAGGGATCCAGGACCCTGCGGAGATCATCTTTGAGATGTCAAAAGAGGAGCGGAAGGATTTTTACCGCAGTATAGCGTGCGGTTTGAACAGACCACTGTTTGCTGTATACAGACGCGTACTACGAATGTACGATAACCGAAACCACGTAGGCAAGTAAGGACATAGTAGATTTTATTTCTCTGTTAAAACAGATTTACAAACCATATATACACCAAAAATGTCTGTTGTAATATTTCATATGTGCTTTTCTTGTCATTTAGATACACTGATGAGGAGATCAATAAATTGAAAGAGTAAGTTGAACTATCAATCTTGAACGCCATTAGTGTAATCTGAATTTGTGAGTCTACATTGTCAGATTTCGGTGTGTGTGTGTGTTATTAGGCTAAGGGAGAAACATGGAAATGACTGGGCTACCATTGGGGCGGCACTTGGCCGGAGTGCATCGTCTGTGAAGGACCGCTGCCGACTCATGAAGGACACATGCAACACCGGTCAGTTCCCCCAAATGTTCATTTTAGTGTTTTCTATTATATTAGTTTCATTTATATTAGTTTCTATTATACTAGGAGAAACATATCCATTTGAAAGTATATTAAAGATACATTTCTATGTTTTATTTAAATGTATATATAATATATAGAACATAAAAATGTATAGTATTATTTTTTTATAAAATATATATATAATGGATTAAAGAATTTTAAACATGTTTGTGTTACACATAAATTTTAATTTATTAATTAATTATTACAAATAAGTATCATTATATAGTATAGTTCTAGTAATTATTAATGAATAAATAAATAATAGTGTTTTATTTAATCGTTATATATATATAATGTATGTTTATTAAAACTAATTTTGTAATAGTTTTGTATTAATTAAAAAATATAAAAAATCATTAGTATAATATTATTCTAAATTATAACATTTATTATACATTTTATATATAAAACCTATTATTCGTTAACATATATTATATATATATATATATATATTAGGGCTGTCAGTTAAATGCGTTATTAACGGCGTTAACGCAAACCCATTTTAACGGCATACATTTTTTTATCGCGCGATTAACGGCCTTTTTGGCCTAGCAAACTTTGTAGTTTTTTTCACATGCTTTTCCAACAGGATGCGGCATGCGCGACGCTGCGCTATGAAACCCATTCATTTCAATGGCTGCGCGAGGACGTTTTGTTGCTTCGTCGACCAAAGCGCAAGCAGAGCTAGACCGTAAACAAAATAACAGGCACGCCGCACACACTTGTTTGGGCTTGCGAGCCGTGGATGACGAGCGCGAGACGCCGAAATGGATGCCAATAAGATTCTGAATGGAAAGTTTAATTTTAAAAAGTTGCCAAATGGTTCCATTGGCGAGACCAAAGTGATCTGTGTGTTTTGTCGTTGTGAACTGAGCTATCATCATCGCAGCACGTCCAGTCTGAAATACCACTTGATGGCCAAGCACACACACAGCTGATGCTAATTCTCCGCCCTCTCGTCAATCGTCAGTATTTCTT